TCTTTCTCCTTGTTTTTAAGTGGTTCTTTTAGTGTTTAAAAATTTGTCAATCTTGCTTATTACACACTCTCGTCCTTGACAAAAACTGACAAAGATTAGTAGTGAATTAGCTTTACTACTACAGTCAACACAATCCTAAATGTTCTCCATTTCTCCGTTAGGAGATGACAAGGGGGAACCATAATCAATGAATAACAATCAACTTGTTTCCTCCCACTCCACTTTGTTCTGCCATTCTTATGCTTTACCCTTCTCTGTGGCCTTCAAATGAAAGCTCTTTTCAGGAACAAATTATAATTTGCCTCTAACCAGTTACAAGAAATTAATGTTTGATTTAAGCACCAGCTGAGGTTCATGCTTGCAGGCGTGCTGTTTGTGTACGTGCATATGTGTGTTTAAGCTGCAAGAAGAGGGAGGTGGCGTGTGTCTTGTCAGATCCTAAAAGGGTGAATTGGAAGCTAATCTCCCTCTTCCAAGGAATTCTACCAGTGACATCTCAGACAATCCTGTCTCAGAGGGATTGTAGGAGTGCAGTGGAGTGTACACTTTCATCTCTACAATAGGATTTTTTCCAAGAATATCTGACCATTATCTCAGCAGTGGATAGACATAGTTCCTCCTCAAATGTGAACAATGCACACACACACCCACGTGCACTAACGGATAAGTCCTTTATCCTTACCTTTCAAAGCAGGACAATCCAGTCAAGGTACACATGCATGCATGTTTACAGGCGTGTTTTTGCAAAATTGGTGAGCATGGAGGCACCCTGACAAACTGTCTCTGAGATTTCTGTCTGTTTTGACTTGCTTAGGATGATGTTTGCCCCATTCAAAAATTCCTTTAAACACCCCCAGAGACAGTGTTTGCCTGTCTGGGTGGTGACTTCATTCCCTGCCTTACAGGAGGGGGTATGGTATGTTAAATGTGTGGGAAAAGGCCTAAGGGAAGGGTGAGTCCAGCCACGGCACCATGTGGTTTGAGGCTTGATGGGGGGGTGGTCATGGTTTGAGAGTGCAGAGATAGGTCAAAGAGGTCAGTCAAGCTCAGAGCTTCTTTGGTTACAGAAGTGTCTAGACTGGTCACTACTGTTGCTGCTACCTTCATTGTCTCTTTTTGAGAATGCCTGTAATTTGTGGTACACAGTGACTGTAGTCTACATGCTAATGACACAATGCCAGGAATCTCAGTATCCTTAACTAATAGGTGGGAATGACACTTTCATTCCACAATGAAATCCACAGTACACTGAAATGCCTCACCTCTATCTTTTAAGCACTTTTTAACCTTTTTAAATGTGCCTCTGTTTTTGTGCACAACCCTGAAAAAGACATATCAACAATAAAATGGTTGTTATTCTGGAATGGTAAGGGTTACACTAATGGCCTTAGTGTCATTGGAAAGTTAAATGAGGAAATAATTAGTTTTATTTATGGATAGGTTTCTGTACTTTATTTGCTCTATTTAGAAAAACAGCTGTACAGCAGGAAATGTATTGTTTATAATGACAACAATTATAGACATTCCAGCAGCCAGGAGTGTGAAATATAATATGGCATTGGTGATTAATGATGTAAACGCAAGTACATTTATTATGTTTTTTTAATTGAGGGAGGATGAAAGACATTTAATAATGGTGGTTAGTGATTTCATAATCTGAGGTCGATGTCTAATTGCGACAGCCACTCTGGCCTAGACTACAACAGGCATAAAAAACCCAGCGAGATGAGTCTTGTTTGCGTTCATTCACATTTCATTGTTATACAGCAGCACACATCCATGTCATATGTGGTTTCAGCCTGGAGACCTGAGTTGTGTGTCACTTAAGGCGGAGCTGTGAGACAGGTGCTGAGATGAAAAGACTGGAGAGGGGAAGTAGGGTGTGCCTGCTCCATGGCTGTTCTGACAGGCCTTTGGAATTTTTTTCAAAAAGTGTGAGAATGTGTATGCGTCAGAAAACCTGTTCACATTTCTCTTGGGATTCTGCAGGTGTGTGTGAGTGGAAACATGTCTTCCTCTATACCATTGTGTTCAAGTGTATGCCACATAGATAGATAGATAGTTCTATCTATCTATCTATCTATCTATCTATCTATCTGTTATCTGAGGTGTACAGTGTGAGAAATATGACAATATTTCTAATGCAACTGTGGCAACTGTATGGTCATTTTTGAAAGATGTACTTTGTTTGCTGCTGTTGCAGTATATTGTGTTATACTGGCAGATGTTTCTGTTATTTTGTCCATCCTATTTTTATCAGTGAGGCTAGGCCAAATAACAACAGCACAAACAGTTCAATCAACAATTCACTGAAACAATTTCAACCAAAACTGAACATTATCACTTTCATAAAGGAGGATTTATTGCAGGACTGTTAGACTTGATTAGTTTTCACTTGGTTTACCAAATAAACCGCCAAGTGAGTGTACGTTTGGCAGCTCCAGTACAGAGTTAAATGGCACATCCAGTCCCAGAATGAGGCTCAGCTCCTGTCTGTCCCTGTCTGGTTATCCTCAGCCAGAGGTTTGCACTGTCTGCTTAGCAAATAGCACCTCTGCTATTTAAACAATACTCTTAGTGATACAATTAGTAAATACAAATCAAATAAAGAGTCTAAAACGAAGCAAAAGGACTTGATTATTTTTTTGTTTTGTTTTTAGCAGGACTTTTAACTAGTATCCAATTTTAGTTTCTTCAACATCATTCTTTGTCCCTTCTCTCTCTGTGTGTGTGTGTGTGTGATCGTCTGTTAGCAGGCACGTCTGCATGGTAATGATGCTTTGGCTGCTGTTTCTCAGACCATTGTGTTAATACACTCTCTCGCTGTGTTAATATATTGTGAGAATGAGAACGAGATTGAGAGACTGAGAAAAAGAGAGTGAATAATTATCTCTCCCCTTTTGTCTCTGCTCCCTCAATTAAGCCCGAAGAGAGGCAGCCGGAGCACATCTACTTATCCATTTCAAGCTCAGCAACAATAGCACCCCCCAATTTCTTTCTATCTCTCCTTTTTTCTTGTTTTCAGTCTTCATTTCTTCATCCTTCCCCCTTTTTCTCATTTTTCCACATGAAAATTCTATTGTAGCACAGTACCCCGATTTGTTTTTTCTTCCTGCCATCCTCTGTCTGTACCAACCTCTGTGCTCCTCATGTATTTTGCCTCCAGCCTTGCCTCACCTCTCAGGCCCACATGGGTTTTACAGGGAGCTCACCCCCCTCTCCTAGTTATCCAGCTCTTCCTCCAGTGCCCTGCTGCAGGGCACAGGGAGAGGAAAAACAGAAACTAAACATTTTAGACTGTACACTGCCAGAGGAAAGACAGTGGTTTGATTTTCTCTGTGTTGTCAGACAGGATTGTTTTGTTTGTTTGCCCCCCACAGTCCCGTCTATCTGTGTGTGTGTGTGTGTGTGTGTGTGTGTGTGTGTTTCACTTCCAGTGCACTGAACAAAATCATGAACTACTGTGTAAAGCTTGGCAGAAGCAATATCCAGTTAATGTATCCAAGAATTTGCAGTACTTAACAACCTATTTGTTGTGCAGGTTTAATTATTGACAAATTCATTAATTATTGATAAATTCATCTTATCTGTTTTTTGGAGGTAGGGAAGGGAAGGTGAAAAGGAAAAGAAAAAGAGGATATACAGTATATCAAGGTCAAGTTTAGCTTATGTAACTGCTTCCCACAGCTGGGGTGAAATGTGCTGCAGTGGCAAAGTTTAAATATATAAACACAGATACTAGCATGTCAAAGCTCACCAGGGAAACAAAACACTGGGTGCGTTTTCCATGCATTTTCTTAGCAGCTACCTTCATGTCCTTCTTGTACTACTGTACAGTACTTCTCCTTTTCTGAACTCTCATTTCTGTGTCTTTTCTCAAAACTGAAATAGTTGATTTGTCATATTTCTGCCCCAAGGAATAAACAAATTGTCAGTGCTATCTGGATATGGTTAATAATACAAACAAAAGCTGTAAAGTTTAGTGAAAGTAACATTACACTTATGAGCCCTGTATCCCTGAGGGAACAAATGCTTTATTTGCATTCAGAATAGCAAAGAAATGGCTTCTTAAAATTATTCACCAGATATATAAGATCGAAACAGACCCTTGCAGACTGACATCTGTTTTGCAAGTGATAAATGCTGTTTTCAGTTTTAAAAAATCTTCTCTTACTTTATTTCCCTGCTTATCCACATATCAGAACAAACAAAATCTGAAAGTAGTATCTGCAATACTGAAGGCATCAGGTGACCGTTAGGGGCCTCGGGTCAGCTGAGAGCGATTATCAGTGATATCTGCCACGTTCTACATACAAACCAAATGTTCATCTGGCTGTGAACTGAAAATATGTGTAAATACGTAAGTGTAAGTAAGCACATCTTGATTTGCGTGCTTTCATGGTGCACTCTAAGCAGCTCAGAGCTCAGAGAGAAAATTAGGTTACTCTGGCAAGAACTGGGTCTTAAGCTGAACATCCATTATTTTCATCATCTGTCATTTTCTAGAAATGTGTGTATGTGTACTTGCACTTTTGTCTGCCTGGAAACCAGGGGTGTTTTCCCAAAATTTCTGTGCACAAGCCTATACACGCTTTAGATTGCCAGTGAGTTTCATGATGATGTTTGGGAGTCTTTTGATTTAATTTTGGCTTGGACAGTACCCCCATGCTTTGGTTCTGATGGCCTGTGGTTTTGAATGTGGTGCAATATGTGTACATTTTATTGTGTATTTATTGTTTGTCTGCTTTTGTTGCTTCAGTGCAACTCCAGTGTCATTTATTCCCTTTCGTTCATCATACTATCTCTGATCCTCTAGCCTCTCTTTCTAATGTACTTTACAGCTTTTAACATTTCTTCTCCTGCATTATGTAACATACCTGCCATAGTTTTGGAGGTACCTGCCTCTTCCCATCTCCTCCTGTGTGTGCATTTGGTACATCAGGTCACTTTGAAGCTGTGAGAAGTCCACTGAAATGTTCCTCTCTATTCTTGTTCCTCAGTGCAAACTGAGCATCTGAGGATGTGTGGAGGATCATGCAGTCTGTGAAAGATGACTCCAAGCTGATATGGGGATGCTTGTGATGAGGCTACTAAACCGCAGGTAACCACAGCTTTTACACCTTAGTAGCTCAGCACTGCACAACTCTCCATGAGTAACCTTATTTTGTTTTGAATTGCAAAATCTTACCATCTTATTTCAGTAGTTTTACTTGTTTCAGCCCTTTTTTTGGAAGGCTGTGATTCTAAGTACAAGATTAAACTACTTGTTAAAACAAATTTTGTCTCATTGAAAGAGATTTTTGTCAGTCTCTTTCTGCAGCCTGAGCCCACACTCAGAACCTGATGGTGTGGGTTTGATGATGTGTGACTCAGAGTACCAACAGATCTGACAGGAGTTGACTCAGCAGCTCCATGTGCTTATGTAACAGAGAGCGTGAGGTGAAGCGGGATGCTGAGATAACTTTATGATCACCAGAACACAGATAAAAACTGATCTCTTTGATCCAACTGCTCTGGGAGTATGGGAAAAGCATAATTTTAACACAGCCGAGGAAGAGGAGTGCTGAATGTACAGGATCAAAAGTACAAAGGCATAAATATTTAAAAGCTTAAAGTTGCATAACCTAAATTATAATGTATCATTTAAAAGTAAGAGAAAAGACATATTTGGCATTTAAAGTCTTAAAAGTATTTGTAATCACAAAAAAGTGAGTGAGATTTTGATGTATTATGAATACTTAAATGGCAAAAAGCCTTTGGGAAATGCTAGCTGTGATTTTGCTGTTCACTTCATCATCCTTGTGCTTCCACATGTGAGCGTTCTAAGCAAAGTCCAAAACGTTCATCTCAGTCGAGGTGGAAATGCCTTTGCCAGTTGTTGGCCATCTGCCTGACAGCTCAACTCTACAGAAACTCAAAGACATCATACATTTGTCCTAGTACCTATAGCCAATGGGCCATCAAAGGTTATGCACTCATCCAGTGGAGTGATAAACTTGGTTTCCAGCAGTAAATGTGAATAATTAAACAACCCCTGTCTGTCAGATCATGATTTGAATTTCAAAGCAGAAATCTCAGTAACACCTGATTAAACTTTTCTTACTTACTTGTTCACACTGCAGATGAGTGTCGTAAAAATGTTCACAATGTTATTTGGATGGAAAGACTTGTAAGCAGATTACACATTAATTTATATCCAAATAAATAAAAGAAACAAACTAACTAACTTACTTAAATTAGCTCAAGTTGAACAGCAGTCCTGCCCCTTTCAGTTGGGAATTCTGACAAAAGACATCTATTACAAATAGCTGAGGAAAGACTGAGCTTGGAAAGTGGTTGAAAACAGTGCCAGCGTCTGAGTTTCGGCACACATAGTAAAACAACATTTCTTTAAACATTTGACTTTGCTGAATGTGACATGTTAATTCCATAAACAGTTCCCCCTTCTAACAAAGCCAACTTTAAATGAGATTGCAGTAAATATTTGATCAAAGGCTAAGAATCTGACCAAACATCTGGTGCTAACTCTCTGTATTTGAAAGACCAGTCAATGCCACAGACACAAGTTCTAGTCTCAAGTAATACGTTTTGGTACCTCCTGCAACTAAAAATGACAATGCAAATGTAGTTTTGTTTTTCCTCTCATTTCAAGTCTGAACTCTTGGTCACTCTCAGAAGATGCTGTGTATTCTATTAGTTTCCAGAAACTCCCCAAAGCCACTGCCAACATAATAAGTAAATTAAATCAGTGAGTTAAAAAAAGGCATTTAATTAATACAGATGTTATATACAAGTCACAGATGTGGCACTTACCAATAAGTAATAATACATCTCTTATGTCACTACTTTCTAAAATTATGTTAACTGAGGGATAATGGGAATATTTATGTTTCACTGAAACCTCTTCCTTAATTTACAGTTGAATCATGGGAAACGTGGAGAGTCAAAATGGGGACAGTGGTTTCTATGGTGATGTAATGGGACATTTCTCCCGTAAGCACATGTCCCGCTCACTCCGTCTCTCCAGCAAGCGGCCAGTCACTCATCGCTCCAGGCACTCTTCTTCAGTGAAACAGGAACACAGAAACTCTGAAACCTCAACTCGCTCATCCAGCACTCCCAGCATCCCACAATCCTTAGCAGAGAGTGGATTGGAGCCTTTTAACTCAACAGATGCATTCGGGAAGTTTGACATCGACCACCCCCACTGGACACGACATGTAGTTATGACAATGAGGCCAGAGTCCTATCAGCAAGATGATGACCCTTTGGCCACACCAACTCCTGAAACCTCAGAGGGGGACACTGTTGCTCAGGATGGAGGAGAGGACTCCATGGGGGAGGGGGAGGGGGAGGGAGATGTTGCTGGAGGTGAACGGTGCCTCCAGCGAATGATTGAGGGGCCACGTGAGGGAGGGAGTTTTAAAAAGAAGCGATCAAAGTCAGCAGACATGTGGAGGGAAGACAGCCTGGAGTTCTCTCTGTCTCTTTGCTCTGACCTGAGCCAAGAGCATCTGACCAGCACTGAGGAGATGAGAGCTGGAGTAGAAGAGGAGGAACAGAAGCAGTTCAGACTCCCCAGAGGCACCACAGGTGAGGATGGTAAACATACACTCACACAAAAGCATTTTGGATGAACACATACCAGTGTATGTGTGCAGGCGCGTTAGCTGGATTTGAGTCACATTACAGGTGATGAGTGGGTGAGTGAGGTGGGGAGGATTGCACAGTTACTGAGTAGGGACAATTATTTCAGAAAGTCTACTGACTGAAAGTTAGCTGCCATCCTTTCGTTGTAGTTGTTCAGTTGATCACAGGATTGTTAGCTGAAATGGGACTGTGCAGGAGCTGCTGGAGTTCAGCATGACAGCAGATGGTGGCTGGTAGCTTAACTGCTCAAGGTCTACGCCTTGCCCCAGGTGGTCTGGCTTGCTCAGAAAAATTGAATAATGCATTGGCTTCCTGCACATCACAGTACACACATTTTTGTTTTTATTCCTCCTGGAATCCTTACATTGACTTGCATTAATTCCCTGGAGACTTACCCTAACCATAACCATAATCACTACTTGCCCAACCCTCACCCTTCTTCCAACCTTAAACTGAGTCATCACTTTTGGTCCACACATGGAGAAGGTTAATTTACATGCCAAATCTGGCAAAGTAATCAGAATATAACTGACTACAATCAGAATAGGCTAACCTCACCTTGGTACACACATTGGCCTGTTATAACCACCTGTGTATGTTCCAGGCTCAGCTGAAAGGGCATCATCACTGGACCATCTGTGCAGCCAGCGGAGCCCTGGCCTCAGGGGGCAAAGGAGTCGCTACACTAAAAAACGAAAAGAAGCTGAGAGCAATGGAGATAGAGCAAGGGAGGAGGGATTGATGTCTCCAGAGGAGGAGGATGGTGGTGGCTATGGAGCATTTACTCTGCCCTGCCGACGGTCCCATTGCCTGTCTGAGGGCTTGAAAGGACTCGGCCTCTCAGTTACACCATGCGCCGCTTTCCAGGGACGGCGCGCACAAACTACTCAGGTTAGAAAAATTCATGAATTTATGTAGAAGTATGCAAAGCAGATGAAACTGTACTGAAGTTAAAAGTCTTCTTTCTCTGTTTTGCTCTGGTATTCTGTCTCATCTGTCTCCTTCCTTAAACATGCATCCCTAATCATACAGTAGAATGATAGAGCACTTTGTTTACCAGTAGTTCACAGACATGACAGAGGACACCAGTCACCCCAGAAATTAACATTTCCCGTGTGTGTATACCCTGCAGTTTGGTGTGTGTATGTTATATGTAGATGTGCATTATATATTTGTGCAGTGAGGAATGGGATTACAGGGAGTCAGATAGAAAGTTGCTGTGGGTGTCACTGTACTTGTACAGTGCTGGTCTGGTTTCTTAAAGTATATCATTTACACTTCATTCTCTAACCACACACACATCACCCTGATGTCTATAAATAAACACATAGTGGCATTTGGTGTACAATTTAGAAGCTTTTCTTGCAATCTTACAAATGCAAATTCACTCAAAGGATAAAAGAGAAAGAAATGTCACTTCAATGTTGACAACATAGTAAAACAAACAAACAAACAAAACTGAGGCAGACTCGGAATGGTGCTGGAAAAGTGTGAAAGCACGGAGAACCCCTCATAGCGAATAGTTTTCTACACTAATGCACCCACCCACATACATAAACACAAAAACACAAACCCAGAAACTCCTTGTGTGAGAGAAATGACCTTGTGTTCACACAATTTTCACTCTACATTGTTATGTTTATATGTGTGGATTGTAGTTTCAACATTTTGTCTGTATAGTATTGTATCACCCCATTGTTTGTTTGTATATTCCATTAATAAATCAGTTCTGTTTCTACCCTGTATTTTTGGCTAACAGGATATCTCTGGAGTTTTGGGTGAAGGAAGCGAGTATAGTGACAGTGGTATTGATGGTGTCGCTGCTGAGATGGATGGCGATGGAGAGCTGCTGTCACGGCGCTGTAAGGCCATGTCGGCCTCTTTCTCCATGTACTCAGCTACTGAGAGCAGTGTTTTCAATGGCAGTGACAGCGGGAGCAGCAGTGCAGGAGGACCAGAAGGAAGAGGTGGTGAAGAAGGCAGGGGAGGAGTGTATGAGAACTTCCGGAAGGAGCTGGACAATCAAGCCTGGGTTAGTTACTTTTTGTATGTGTATGTGCATTTCCTTGAATTACAGGCATGTGTGACAGATTCTTCATGCTTCTGATCTCTCCATCCCTTTATCACTCTTTTGTCAGACGCATCGGGGTCGGGACTGCACGGAGGAGGTGGGCTCTGCTGTGAGTGATGAGCAGAGTAGCGGCACAATCAGTAGTGTGTATCCTTCAGACGCTCTGATTGGCTATGCACAAGGTACAGTCAGGAAAGCAGGGGCTCTGGCTGTGAAGAACTTCTTGGTCCATAAGAAAAACAAGAAGGTGGAAACAGCAACAAGACGGAAGTGGAAACACTACTGGGTTTCTCTGAAAGGTGTTGCATACACTCACACTTTTATGTTTTTTCCCCCTAACTTTTATTTAGTGGTTTACAAAGTTTTCAACACGCCACAACCTAAAACATATTGAACAGTCCCAAAGACTCCCAAATTATCATTCCACCTTCCACCAGCCCATCATCCCCTTACCCTCCCATCTCTCGGGAAAGACATGTACACAAAGAAAAAGGGAGGTTGAGGAGTAAAAAAAGAGCACACAAGAAAAGAAAGGAAAAGGAGGGGAGAAACCAAACATTACTACAATGAATGACTGAGGATGGCTGTGATTTATATTGACCCTCTTATATATAAGGTATCAGTAACAGAGATTGTTGATGATTTATTAAAAAGGGTATCCAATTTTATCAAATGTTTTCTGGGAGCCTTTTAGGAAGTATCTTATTTTCTCCAGCTCAGTGCAGTCCAAAACCTCTTTAATCCACTCCTGATATTTGTTTTGGCTTTAATTTGTATTTGATCGTTTTCAAATAAGAGTGACAGGAATTGTTGGCAGAAGGCTGCAGGTCTCCATCTAGCTTCTACACTTGGACTTTGTGGTTACCTGGTGTGCACCTTTAACCCTGATGCCATCATGGGCTCTCAGTTGAGCACAGTCACTACAAATCCACCAATGAATGTTTTTAATTATTTACCCATAATTATTAATTGATCCAAGTATCAGCAAAAAAGACTACACCTTTTATTTTAAATAAAATCATACAACATCACACTGAGATACCCTTCTTAACATAACCCAAACCTGTTTAATCACTCTCTCCTCTTAGACTGTGATCACACCAGCCCCTGCCCTTGGTTTTCAGCTCCGTTGTCCTCTCTTACCCTCTTCTGTGTAGCATCACATTTCTTTTTTTTGGCCTCATCACAATTTAATTTTATGGTGGCGTCCATGTCTAATCCAATCTCATCCTCCTGAAATGCATAAGATAAAGCATCTGCAGCTGCATTCTTGCCTGCTGCCTCTCCTTAGATCTATCCACCTAAAATAAATACATCTGACAGTAGTATTCCTCCTGACCTCATGTTACATGTTAGCATCACTATCTAACAATGTAGGCCAAAGCTGTGTTATAGTACTGCTAAATACCAATGTTAAATAAATGATAAATGGTAAATACACTTTTTTTCACTCTAGATTTGGATAACAATGTAATGCAGTGCTCTAAAAATTTCAATAAAATAATGTAACAGGCTAAATATAATGTGACATTGGTAAAAAAATGATCCCCATTTGTCTTTTCTTCAAGGATGCACCCTTTTCCTGTATGAGTCAGATGGTCGTTCAGTTATCGACCATAACAGCGTTCCCAAACATGCGCTGTGGGTAGAGAACAGCATTGTCCAGGCCGTACCTGAACATCCCAAGAAAGATTTTGTCTTCTGTCTCAGCAACTCAGTGGGAGATGCCTTCCTCTTCCAGGTGGGAGAGACACTGGAATTTGAAACCTCCATGTGACATAACACTTACTGTATGTTCCTTTCAAAGCAGAGGTCAATGACAAGTATTTTACTCAAGCAACCAGTTAAAGCTGAAAGAATAGTAATATTTTATTGTCAAAAATATAATGTGGGCCCACACTTTATTTCACAGACTATCAAAAGTGTATGTGCCTGTTTGTGTGTGTGTCACACAAGTACATGACATTTAGCCATGTGTGGGAGATAAGCCAGCCCTGAGTCCATGTGTTTGTTTAATGTCTGACATGTTTAAAGGCCACACTGTCATACTGTGACAGTGATCCACCACGGCAACCATTGTGTAATATTAAAATGCGTCATTTATATTCACGGCAGCTGTCCACAGTGACATTTGCTAAGCAAAAGGGAAGATAAGTAATAGAGTAATGATGAGATTACAGTGACCACCCTCTGTCAGAGGCTAACAGTCAGACTAATGTCAATTACTTTAGCTGTCAATGTCTTAATTTTGTTTTGCTTTCTTATGTTCTTCAGTTGTTCAAGGATGTTACCAAATTTTTTTTTCCTTTTTTCCTCTGCTGCCAGACATCAGGCCAGACAGAACTGGAGAACTGGATCACTGCGATCCATTCTGCATGTGCCTCTGCTCTTGCTCGGCAGCACCACAGGGAGGACACGGTGCGACTGCTGCGAAGTGAGATCCACAAGCTGGAGCAGAAGATCGACATGGATGAGAAGATGAAGAAGATGGGAGAGATGCAACTGTCCACTGTCACTGATGCCAAGAAGAGGAAAACCATATTGGACCAGGTATGGAGGCGAGTGAGCAGTGGTGTTGAAGGATGGAAGATGGAAAATGGGGAACTGAGTTGTATGTCAAGATCCAATGAAAACAGTCAATTTGATTAAAGTTGCACCTAAAATAATTGTACATACAAAATTATAGAGGAATGCCTAACAGATACAAGAGGAAGCCTTGGAGATCCTTTATTCCTTTATTTATATCCTTTATTTATTTATTTATTTGTTTATTGGGGGTGACTGTGGTTCAGTGGGTAGAGCAGTCGTCGCCCAACCAGAGGGTTGGGGGTTCGAATCTCAGTGCCTGCAGTCCACGTGTCCTTTGCCAAGACACTGAACCCCCAAGTTGCCCCTGATGTTCAGAGTCATCAGTTGAGTTGGCGCCACAGATGGTTCCCTCGGTTCTGTACTGGAAATAAATTCTTTGTGTGTAACATACTTGGCCAAATAAAGATGATTGTTCTTCAAGTTTTTTAACTTTATGGCCATCAGAATCAGAAAAGCCGATGCTGATTTGCACTGGTTTTGTAATCTCATGTGTTTCATGTGTTGAGCACCCTACTGAGTGTCTTCCACCTGAATTGATATATGCACATCAGTGAACCTTTGAACTGCACCAAGGCTTTCAATAAATCATATTTACTGCATGGCGTAATCCATACAAAATGTTCTTAAGGAGTGCTTCCAATGACAGATGTTTTCAAATACCCTGACTGGTGTTCATTTATGAACACATGCATGCGCAACAGAACGCAGAATATTCACAGCACATGTTCAAACACATGCAGCACACACAGGTGCAACTGAAATCTGCTGCTAATGCTTCCATATTTAATTGCTGTTTTGAAACAAGTCACAGCCAATATTTCCAAGCTGTTCCATTCAAAGTTTGTTCACTTTGAATGGGACATGGTATATAGCTTTTGTCTTACTCCTTGCGTGTCTGGAGTTGCTGCTGAATGTTAAAGCAGCAATAAACATCGCAAGGGAGCTCAAGAATGCATTCACCAACAATGGGCCTCCATGTGTGAGCAGGCCTCAGTGTCTTTATATGTGTGCAACATTCGGTTGATTGTCAGTCAACAAAACAAATATTACATAAGAAGCGCCTGGAGGTGGTTCATCTCGGTCGCGCAGAAGACTTCCCATTTCTGAGCCAACTCTGGGATTGCCTGTTGTAGGATCAAAGCCTCAAACTTATTTTATCATTGACTTCTTTCAAGATAATTATCAGGGACCACATCTACAAAACGAGTTGACGTAAAAATACGGGCCTGGGATCTATGTTGAGTTAAAGATTCAGTGAATCAGCAGTTGCATTAATTTAAGATTAAGCCCTGAAACAAATAGGTGAAAGCAGGAACAATGCAAATTAAGCCTAGATTGTGTTTCACTGTGAGTGTGTGTCCCTGTATTCCACCTCCCACAATCCACCCCGTGATACATTGCACATAGCACAGCAGGTCGGCAACTGGTGGGGGTTGTGCTGGTGAGTCATACATCTCCACAGGGGCTTCAGCACTCCTACATCTCACGCTTCCTGAAATGACCGAATAACCATCTGACACAGAATGATTGTTTATGCACAGTTTGTTTTTAATTCTCTTTATTCCGTTGTGGCGTTTCTTGGTAGCCATTCCACAGATAAACCTGGATTTATTAAGTTTGTTTATGTTAAATATCCTTTTCACTGTTTTTATATTTGCCTCTTTTAGATCTTCTTGTGGGAGCAAAATTTGGAGCGGTTCCAGATGGATCTATTCCGCTGTCGGTGCTACCTGGCCAGTCTACAGGGTGGTGAGCCCCCCAACCCCAAACGCCTGCTGGGCTTTGCTTCCCGACCCACCAAGCTGGTCATGGGGCGACTGGGCATCTTCTCTGTTTCTTCCTTCCATGCACTGGTATGTTTACAAAAGCCCATGCACACACTTTTTTTAGTACCCATGTCTGTATTCCAACTGTTTCCACTACTCGCTGACATTTTACTTTTAAAACTAATCCTTAATCCAAAACTCAAAACTCAAAACTGTGTAGAGACCACATGTCTCTACACATTCCACTACTATTGCGTGAGAGGTTCCCAACTGCTGACCCTCAGTACCAGCCCAGCTTGGAGAGTGGGTGTGTTTATCTGGCAGTTGGAGTGAGTATCTATTCACATACACCTACTGAAAGACAAATGTGCAGACTAATAGACACCGCATATAGTTTTAGGTTAAAACAAATGATTAGGCATGTAGCAAGCAGAAAAGGGAACGCAAAATTTTAGCATTATAGTAATCCTCTACAGTTGTCTTGAAGTAGCTGTACCAAGTGTTCTTGTATTGAATGGTGACAGGTCCCAGGTTCAGGTATTACATTTTAAGCTACTACCTTTACCTTTACTCCTACTGACACTGGCTGTATCTTTGGCCTATTATTGTCTCTTTTAACCTTACAGTTCATGGGTATTTTACTCCTTGTAAGGTACCTACAGTATACTGTATACAAAGGTTAGGTGCACACCATCTATACACTGTCTTCATTCAGAACACTGTCTTCACACACTGTCCTGAAAACCTGAGACAAAACTGAAATAAGGCATTCTGCCAATCTGTTCATGTCTGCCGATGCTTGGCTGCTTTAGCCTGTGGCTAAAACCCAAGTCATTAGCTCACTGCTCTGCAGGGAGCTCATGTTGTCACTTTGAGCACAGAATGAAATGTACAGAATGAAACACAACTACAGATGGAATGACCTACATGCTGCTGTGTGTAACATGTATTCTCCGTCAAGTATCACCCGGGAAATGCCAAGCAGAGCAGAGAAAAAGAAACAATAATCACTTCATTTGGCCAAGCATGTTATGCACACAAGGAATTCGTCTTTGGTACAGAACTGAGACAGCCATCTGTAGCGCCAGCTCACACACACCGATGGTGGGGCAACTTGCAGTTCTTGCCCAGAGACATGCGGACTGCAGGCATTACGATGGCTCTACCTGAACCAGAGCCACCCGATAATTGTGATTAAAGTTAAGAGTCAAACTCAGATTAATTGAGTACCGTATTTTCCGCACTATAAGGCGCACCTAAAAGCCTTAAATTTTCTCAAAAATCGGCCGTGCGCCTAATAATCCGGTGCGTGTGCACTGAGTTCCAAAATTTGTAAAAATGTTGTGACAAGATTACCAACAAAAAGATCCAGCCCGACCACATCACCAACATGGACGAGGTCCCCCTCACTTTTGACATCCCCGTGCACCATACTGTGGAGAAAAAGGGGACCAGCACGGTATCAATACGCACCACGGGGCATGAGAAGTCGGCTTTCACTGTTGTTCTTGGTTACGTTTTAGCATGCGCCTTATGTATGGGTTAAGTACAGAAATAGACCCCGTAATTGAGACTGCGCCTTATAATCTGGTGCGCCTTATGGTGCGCAAAATACGGTCAATGACCTCGACGTGATTTGAACACGCAACCTTTTGATCTGGGGTCAGATGCGCTACCGTTGCGCCACGAGGTCATCTGTATATCACTGTAACCCAGTTTCATACAACAGGCCACTGGAATTTGCAAACACAGTACACGGCTGACGTCAGAGGATTATTGTGTTTTTTTTAGTGATTGGTGGATCAATATGAACTCTGCTAGTAAGTTACCATCCCTGAGGCACTTTCCCACAAATAGGCTTAACACTCTTTGCTCTGTAGCCCCCCACCATCCATTCCCTTCCTCCTACTGCCTACACCCTCACTTCCTTTGTCTGTCTGTCTCCCTCAGTTTCTCTCTCCACATTATTGTTCCCCTTGTTTCTTTTTTTTTACCCTTTCCTTCTCTCTTTCTCACCCCGTCTCTGTTCATTCTGCTTAATTATCCCTTATTCTTTCCCCCTTTTCTCCCAGATTTTACATTTTATTAATTGATTAGTCAAATACTGCTAATAATGAACACATTTTTGAAAAGTCATGTATTTGCAATATGCAAAGTACATATATTTTATGTTTTTATCTCTCTCTCTTTCTCTATTTATCTATCTATCTCTCTATCTATTAACAAATTAAATGAAAATGAAATACATTAACTGAATTAGAAACAGAACTTAATAAATGATGAAATACAAAACCATCAAAATTACCCAGTTCATCTTCCCTTTAGCAAATGTTTACTATCTTCTATTGCAGCCCTGTTTTTACTTTGACAAGGGAACATGTCAAATTTTTTTATTCCTTTATTTTCTATTGTAATTTAGGTATTCGTCAGGGTTGTTATCATCTATAACAAAAAGAGACATTGTACTAAAATGGGACAAAAAAAACGACCTCTCACAGCTTCTATAAGAAGAATCTTGATGACAAATTGACCTTTCAGGTTTGATGTGTGTGTGTATCTCATGAGTAATGACTGGTGAGGAGACCAGTAAGCACATACCAGCACTACAATATGTGCTAGTATGTACAGAGACAGTACATACTGTATTCAACGCATTGGTCAGTGGTATGATTTCTCCCTTCATCTAGCTGCTCCGCCGCTTTCCTTGCCAGCAGCCTCTTTCTTGAGCAGTTATGTACATATTGCATATATACATGGAGTAAATATACTTGAGACCTTTTTTGTATTAACGTCTTTCAAATATTTAATAAATACTGCATTTACTCTGAACCCGTTTGTTGGTAGCCAGTAATATGGGATGAATAACATGGTATCTTTTCTTAATATGCTTGTAAAATAAGTAAAGCTTAGTAATAGATATGGATAAGTGCAATGTAAGTGGATAAAGACTTGTTGAATCCTTACAGGAAAAACATAAAAGCACAGGGAAAACCATTTTCTTTTAATGTACAATATATGAACAATGTGAACTCCTCATATACTGTTTACTGTATACATTAGCATGTTGATTAATTTGTCTAATGTGGGTACATTGTCATCAGACTATGAAATTAAGGTTTCATTTCCCTTTCCATTCCATTCATATATTTTGTAATGGTCACTGTCACAGGTGTCGGCTCGTACACAAAGCAGCATCAGGAGCCCGAACCAGGCCATGCCTCGCACCCTGAGTAAACGACAGAGCCGCTTCTCTTCCCTCTGGGGGCTGGACACCACCTCTAAAAGGAAGACCAAGGGACATCCCTCCATTAAACAGGTCTCAGTAGTAACCCATGCATACTAAGCTTTTCACTGACTTCATAGTTTTTGGTGTTTTAAGTGGTAAATCTATAAGATAGTAAGAGTGTGAAGAAATAATGTATTGAACATTTGGAATTAGTTTGAAACTGCATTTTGGCGATGACCCAAGTTGACTACTAAGCACCATTTTATCTAGATGTTGACTTAAATGCAATGATGCAAGTGATCAGCAAAACTCATAATGCAAGATTGAAAGATGGATAAATATTGAGTGGTGCTGAGAGTTCCTTTTAGTTGTTGTCATAATAATTACATAACTGCTCTGTACTGTCTGTGATTTATTTGGCTGCAGCTTTGACGTGTGGTTCTCTTTGTGGTTGCAGGTGTTCGTCGATGGGATGGAGCCAGTGAGAAAGCCCTTGGAGCGCACTTTTGAAGACTCCGTCAGTGAGAAATCTGTAAGATAGTGCTCAGCCATCTTTACTAGACAAATGTACCAACATAGAAAAATGTTCATTTTCTATTAAGGACCACAATAGAATTGTATCAAGACAAATTCAATTAAAAAGTTATACTTGAAATTTGGGGAACATTGCTACTGACAGTTGATTGCACCTTAACTTTTTACTTCTAGTCCCTTGAATTAGGCCCATGAACATCTCAAGAAGGTTTCTCTTTGTCTTTTTTTTTATATTAAAATACATACAGTGGTGTGAAAAAGTGTTTGCCCCCTTACTGATTTCTTATCTTTTTGCATGTTTGTCACACTGTAATGTTTCAGATCGTCAAACAAATTTATATATTAGTCAAAGATAACACAAGTAAACACATCATGCAGTTTTTAAATGAAGGTTTTTATTATTAAGGGAAAACAAAATCCAAAACTATAGAGCCCTGTGTGAACAAGTGTTTGCCCCCCTGTCAAAACACTGGTTTATCGCACCTGAGTTCAATTTCTCTTGCCACACCTGTTCGCAATCAAGAAATCACTTAAATAGGACCTGCCTGACAAAGTGAAGTAGACCAAAAGATCCTCAAAAGCTAGACATCATGCCGAGATCCAAAGAAATTCAAAAACAAATGAGAAAGAGAATAATGGAGCTCTATCAGTCCGGAAAAGGTTATAAAGCCATTTCTAAAGCTTGGGGACTGCAGATTCATGGTTCCATTTATCACAGCAAGTCTTCCAGGGCCTGAAGCAGCAAAACAGCCCCAGACCATCCCACTACCACCACCATATTTTACTGTTGGTATGATGTTCTTTTTCTGAAATGCGGTGTTACTTTTACGCCACACATAATGGGACACACACCTTCCAAAAAGTTCAACTTTTGTCTCGTCTGTCCACAGAGTATTATCCCAAAAGTCTTGGGGATCATCAAGATGTTTTCTGGCAAAACTGAGACGAGCCTTTATGTTCTTTTTGCTCAGCAGTGGTTTTCGTCTTGGAACTCTGCCATGCAAACCATTTTTGCCCAGTCTCTTTCTTATGGTGGAGTCATGAACACTCAGCTTAACTGAGGCAAGTGAGGCCTGCAGTTCTTTGGATGTTGTTGTGGGGTCTTTTGTGACCTCTTGGATGAGTTGTCGCTGCGCTCTTGGGGTAATTTTGGTCGGCTGGCCACTCCTGGGAAGGTTCTCCACTGTTCCATGTTTTCGCCATTTGTGGATAATGGCTCTCACTGTGGTTCGCTGCAGTCCCAAAGCTTTAGAAATGGCTTTATAACCTTTTCCGGACTGATAGAGCTCCATTATTCTCTTTCTCATTTGTTTTTGAATTTCTTTGGATCTCGGCATGATGTCTAGCTTTTGAGGATCTTTTGGTCTACTTCACTTTGTCAGGCAGGTCCTATTTAAGTGATTTCTTGATTGCGAACAGGTGTGGCAAGAGAAATTGAACTCAGGTGCGATAAACCAGTGTTTTGACAGGGGGGCAAACACTTGTTCACACAGGGCTCTATAGTTTTGGATTTTGTTTTCCCTTAATAATAAAAACCTTCATTTAAAAACTGCATGATGTGTTTACTTGTGTTATCTTTGACTAATATATAAATTTGTTTGACGATCTGAAACATTACAGTGTGACAAACATGCAAAAAGATAAGAAATCAGTAAGGGGGCAAACACTTTTTCACACCACTGTACCTAATGGTTAGTGTAAGTTAAAGTGGGCTTACACTTAACTGTTTCCATTGTGGTCTTTGCCTGTCTGGCAGCCAAACCAGGATGACAAATACAGTAATAATCCTTTTAATGCTAAACATTAAGCTCCTCCTTACTTCCTTAATTTGGGATCTACTACAGAGCACCAGAGCTCATGGAGCTGCAGGCTAGTTCCTTGTCATTGTTTTCCTTTCTCATAAGCTACATAAAAATCACTGGGGCATTTGATGAACCTTTGTACTTGTATAATGTGTTACAGGCTTTCAAGACCCCAAGGCCAGGACCACTGCTAGATTTTCCATTTATTTGGTGCTCTGGTTTGTCATTTGGGGCAGTTATGTGGGAGAAGCACAAACTCCCTATACCTTTCTGCAACAGAGAGCACTTCTGGATCATTTTCAAGCTCCTGCTTTAATATTTTCAGCCATCCACTTCTCTCCTTAGTGAGGCATGGCTGGAGACATTTCCAGACTTATAAAACTTTAAAAGCTGCAGAACCAGATGATTCTAAAGTTTGTTTGTGGCAGATAATGTAGCTGTTCCACTTCTTTTGTCTGATAGATGATTTGCTTCACACGTTTCTGTAGAGCCAACTTGGAGTTGCTTTTGTCTTTTTTGTGGTACTGACATTATTCTTACTGTATTCTCCTTTAGTTTGTCAAAAGCCATTTTCAGATCAGTTTTGAGAGAGTCCCATTTCTTCTTTTTATTTCAGGTAGTTTTTATCAGCATCATAGCCTACCGACATGAAGGATTTTTCTGCCAGTTGATTCCGTCGAGACAAATTTGATCTTATATGTGTTCAGATCATTAGCTTTCTATTGTTTCAACAACTTATATAGACATTTACCTCCAAAGGACCTGGCAGTTTCACACATCTGCCCTAATGACCACATTTTAGACAGCTGAAAATAATGAATAATATGAATGAAATGAAAACTAGATTATTTAAGTTATCTTAGGAACGTAGGTTTTCAGTAGCACTGGTAAATAATACATTTATATGAACTGTGAGGAAAAATGTCTAGTCACTTAGGAGTTGTGCAGGGACAGGCGTGTTAGCTTAATATTTTATGCAACCACGTAGAAGTCAGCAGAGATGAAGGAAGAGCGAACACAGGCCTCTGTTTGTACTCAGCCAACTTTCCAGTACTAAGCCACTCTGACTGTGGAGGTCCCCAGTGGCACCATTGGAGACAGATTTTCCTCCACCCACACATAGCTTCAGCTGGATGAGTATGGAGTTAATGTAAAGTAATGCATACTGTAGAGAGCAAAACACCTGAAATGGAAATACTATATCAGTAACAAAAATGGTTTCGCTGAACATTTCTAGCAAGATTACTTCCAAATGCTTGCATCTATTGGCCTTGTTCCCGTTTTAATTCTCTGTTTATTCTGGGGAATCCTATTAATGGCAAAAATAAAGACCCCCGCCCCCCAGCACTGGCATCCTAGATAGGCCAGGAGGGGAGCCAGATGGTGCTGAGCAGGGCTGAGGAGTTTAGGGAGTTGGGGGTGGTACTAGTTATAGACCCCCAGGTCTGTTGTCTGTCTCAGAAAATGTATGTTTATATTCTGTTTTTGCCTATGAACATGTGTTTGTCTGTGCATGCAAAAATGTACTTTTACATATAGTTTACCCCCTCTGTTTCCTTCTCTCTTTCACTTTCTCTCTAGCCCACACATATAACCACACACAAGCACAGATTGTTAACTGTCAGCAGATTGTATGGCATGAATGAAAATTAGAGACAGAGATAATGGATTGATGTTCAGATGGAGGTGAAGGGGCACCAGAAGGAGCGGCAGTGATTAGTGGGGGGTGCAGTGGAGGAATGAAAAAAAATGTGCATGCTGTTACTTGATAGAAAGTGATAAGGTATCAGTGGCAGAGTGAGGTCAAATAAAAAGAGATGAGCATGAGATGAGAGAGGCTGACATGCCTGCCAGATTGTCAGAGGTCAGACTGATGGGCTTAAATGTTACAGACTATGCACACACACCAACACACAAAGATTCAAGCGCACACACGTCTGTAACACATATCCACTTGGAGACAAATGTATCATGAGGCTCTCATCAACACAAACAAATTAGATTTTGTAATCAGATCTCCTGCTGCTTTCGGGTCACCACTAGTTTCCATCATTTTACACTAATCAAGCAAATCAGGTTTATTTTGTGAGCAAGAACAGAAATAATGATGAATTAGGAGGATTACTCAATGATTTTAGCTGTCTACGTTGTGCTTAACAGATTTTTTTTTTCTGGACCTCATTGCTTCCCTTAGCAGAACCTCAACCAGCCCTGAAAGGTTTTCTTGAGAACATTATATTTATCATGGTTTGCTTTCCCCTGAACACCAAGGCTACTTAATGATGCATAAACCTTCTCTGTGTATGTGTGTGCTGCATTTTCAGAGAGAAGGGTCTGTGAAAAGTCTGCCTCAGCAGAACGTAGACAGCGACATCTGGGTTCCTGACTACTTGACTCCGTCCTGGGTGTGTCTGCCCAACAACCAGCCTGTCTTGGCTGTCATACAGCCTGGTGAGACAGCGCTGAAAGTCCTGAGCGCTGTTTGCAAGGTGGGCCATTATTGATAGCAGTACAAACATTATTACTGGAGACTCACATTGAGAATCCACACTAGGTTAGAATTTAATAACAGTGTTTAGAGCAGGGGTGGCCAATTCCAGTCCTCGAGGGCCACTGTCCCCTGTGGAAGATACCAATTCACTTTATCTTTCCTCACGCCACTTTAATCCAAGATGGTATCTTCCAGCTTCTGACTAACTGAACACACCTGAGCCAGGTAATCAGCAACAAGTCAGGCAGGGATAGCTGGAAAACAAGCAGGACAGCGGCCCTCAAGGACTGGAATTGGCCACCCCTGGTTTAGAGTGAGAAGAATGCTTAACATGTGCTTAATTTACATGTGTATTTTTCACTTAGTGTCCTCCTGTCTTGTTATCTACAGAACCATAAAATCGACCCATCCAGTCACTACCTGCGTTTAAAAGTATGTGCTGACAACCAGATGCTCCTCTATGTTCCCAAACTTGAAGAAGACATCTCTGAACTGGTGAGGAAGTACTGTGAAATTAGCTTGAAATGTAATGGAGAGAACATCCCAGTTTTGGAGTCTAGATTGTCACAAATGTTTTATTGCAATTTCAGATGAGGCACAATGTCCCATTTGGATTTTGTGGTCTTCACCGTATTATTAAATCATTTTTATTTTATCTCTGGCAGGTATTAATGCAAGCTTGTGCATGCTTTATGACTTGAATGTAGATTAGATTTGGAATGCATACAAAATTAAAAATAAGCACCATGGTATATGTTATAAATTATGCAAAATAGTATTCTGACTGCATTGTGTGCAGAACCGTGTTTGTGTCTGTGTACACAGTCAGCAATCACTCCTTTTCAAAAAGACCTCACTTCTGTATTATTCAGCTACTGCAAACCCCAAAATGAATTCTCTCTGAGATGGTGCTTTGTAGGTGATACACTGAATTCTGTGTCAAAGCACAGTCATTATAATACTTGTTCTTTTCCTCAAGAGCTCTATTATATCCTGCTTTGATCACTGGCTCATTTCACCCTCTTTCATCCTTAGTCTAAGATATTACGTTATTATTTCTCAACAGTGGAAGCACATTACACACTGCAGACTTCTCTTCTTGTTTTGGCTTCTTGGCTTCGTGCACACAGCTGTGTCTATATTCTCCCCCGCTGTGAGATCAAACCCTTGTCTGTGCACCCATTCACTTTACAGACATGACCTGGATTTTGATCCCACAACCTTCACATGCAAGTGCTCTGTTAAGGAGGCTGACTAATACAGTACATGAATCTATCCATTCTTTACTGAGAGAAATAACATGACTTTGTCCTTCTGCATCGAAAAACACCATCCATATTTTTGCAGTTACTCTAAACCTTGTGTGTATGTATGTGCGTGTGTGTGTATGTTTTCAGCTTTATAAAGAGATTGAGATTTGCCCCAAAGCTACTGAGGTGATCCAGCTTGACAAAGCTGAGTCCAGCACCATCGGATATGGTATGCTTGTCTCTGACGACAAACCTTTCTGAACTAGATAGGCTAAGTTCCTGTCATACTCTTAAATTCTATATTAAATTGATTGTGTAATGTGTTTCATTGAGCCATGCTTTGTTACTGACTTAAGTTAGTGTTAGTGCATTTTGTCTAAAGTGGATCTAATAGCTTTTTCGTTATGCTGTGCACACTGTCAAATTGAGATGTTTCAGAGGATTAAATAATGAATGACTGAAACTCTTTTTGTGTATGATTATTTATGTGTGTAGGTTTTTCTGTGGCAGTTACAGATGAAGATGGGGTGCAGCAGCTCCATATTACTGAAGTAAAAACAGGAGGACTGGCCTCAGCTAAAGGTACACTATCACACATGTTGGTGAGGAAACACATACTAAATCATTGTGTTAATATTGCATGACAGCAAAACTTTGATCTATGAAAAAAAAGAGAGAGTGCAAAGAGCTTTGAATCAGTGGGTTTTTTTTTTTTTTCTGAGATCAAAAAAGAAAACCAGCATTCCTTTGTCTGCATCTAACAGCTGCATCTGACAGCCTGGGTCTGGAGATCAACTCCCATTCAATGGTCCCTGTCTCTTGACAAAGCCAGAGAGACCTAATGGATTTGAGAAACACACTGTCGCTCTGTAGATACAACACCAATGTATAGAAAATAATATGCCTCACCACTGTGCCCCAGGGGTCACACCAAAGTTACTCAAGTGTGAGATTGTGTCTTTCAGTGCACTAGCAATCTAAAAGCTGCTAGCTTAGCAGGCTGTGCATGCAGCGGTACTCACTCTCTACTTCCACAGGCAGTCTTGATTCTTGAATCACTGTATTTTGCTGAATCACAGAATTAAGTATGTCAGCCATGACATTAATAGGTCCATGTGCATGCCAGGATAAGCCTTTGTGTATGTGCACAGTGTCAGAGTGCAGAGAATGAATAGGGAGTAAAAGAAACTGCACTTAAATTGCTGCAGGGTGCAGAAACCAGACCAGCACTGGAAAAGGAGCCCCAAAGGCTCCTTATTTCTCTATCTCTATCCCTCTGTCTCTTTCTTGCTGTAATTTCTGTCCCCCCAAAACCCTCCAGAAGAACACACACACAGACACAGACACATACAGCAACACACACAAATAAGCACACATAGTTGTATATGGCCAGAGGGGTTATCTCTCCCTGCCCAATAAAGACTCTGCTACAGCTAACATTTCACATCCCAGACAACTAGGTCATTACTTAGAGCTAAATGTGTGCCCTTTATGTCTGCTGTATATATTTAACTGTGTGCGTGCCTGCATATGTCTGTTTATAACAGTATTCTGTGCATTATGAAAGCCATATCACAGACTACCTGCTGTTTCTCAGTGATATAAAATAATACTGGAGTCAGGAGGAAGGATAACAAGCAAATCTGTGCTGATGTGGGGCCGAAAGCTTTTGTCTTAGTTAATTCTGCAGTCAGGGAAGGTGAGACCAGTGTCTGGTTTCCAGCTGTCACAAGCAGTCAGGTTTATTGGGTGATGCTGGCTTCTAATTGGTTGGCTGATTGAGTGCTAATTCTCAATTAACAGAGCTGGTCACAGGTGGTCCAGGGGAAACCTTCAAACTGAAGAGGTTCTCTAGTGAAGAACTATATACATACAGGGCAGGACTAAAGCACTGCATCCTCCTTAAACCAAATGAATCTCATTAGATCAGTATTCGCCTCAAGCAAAGAGGCACTGCATGTAATTTGAACACATTAAAGTACCAGCATATCATTAAAGTATGGCACTAAAGTGTTTTTTGTCTAGATAATTTGGATACATTAACACTGGAAACTTAATGTTGCTTTAATTACAGTGTCATTTTTACAAAGCCACTTTTAAGGGCGACTCATTTAAGGAGCTACCTGTACAAGATAAATGTTACATTCTCACTTTCATTCTCTACCAGGTTTGAAAACGGGGGATGAGATCCTGTTTCTCAATGGCAAACATGCATCTACACTCCAAATGGATGATATGAGGGCTGCATTTATAAACCAAGCTTTGACCTTGAGCATTAGCACCCTGCCCCAGCTGGACCCCCGGGTACTGTGCTCCCTTCCACCCCGGCGCTCGGACGGGGAGCATGACCTAGCCACAGACATCTTCTCTCAGAGCCAGGGTAAAGCTTCCTGTTGTATGTTATTTAATTTTGAATAAAGGCAAGTTATATTACACTGTATACAAACAGTGTTCTCTTGTGATAAATTTAATGAGCTTCTTTTTTAGGTTTAAATTATAACTTGGATTCAATTAGGTAGAAATGAGGAGGTCAAAAGTGAGGAAGAAACTTGATTTTTATGCATTTGATTTGTAACTTACACCAGTATTGACACGTGTTCAGCAATTAGCTCAGTTAAAGTTTTAAAGTACTCCATGGTGTTATGCAAAATGTGCTTTTAAAATGAGGTAAAATGAGATTATTGATGAGGGAGTTTAATCAGTTGGCTCTTTAAAAAAAGAAAAAACAAATGCACTTTAGATCAAGGAATCTGGATTGCACAGTCCTCCTCTTTGTCCTTTTAATTTCAAACTTCTTTCAAAACAAGAAAAATGAAGATTTTTTGAAGCTCCAACTTTGTGTGGCGAACTAAGCAGAATCCAGGTGGGGAAATGTCTTTTTAATCAGAGGGTGAAAAGGACGATCTGCTAATTATGCATGGATGCTGTCTGATAACTAACCTGCAGGCAGCCGCCAGCTTTCCTATGACCTGCTCTTTTTGTCTGTGCAAGGGCACCACTTGTATTCTTTATAAACTGGGGCTTACAGTGCACAAGCTGACAAGCTGGCATTGTTTATACAGGGACTCAGAGTAGTATGAATATTAATATGAATCCTTCAGCGGTGTGGGGCTGTCACTGTGTAGAATAGGCCATATGGAAAGGGTCAGAGAGGAAATAAAAACACTCCAGTGGACAGGTGGAGGTTATCGATGATAGGCTCAAGAGGAGACAAATGAACACAAGAGCTCTTCAACACAGAAGAGACATTATACTGGAAGTTACTATGGATAAGGTTGGAATAAGAACCAGTGTGATCATACAGTTATATCATAAAAATACTAAGGATGCTACATTATTTTGTTTGTCATGCTGAACTGTAGAGAAAGCAGCGTCTAACAGAGTGGGGATACCTACTAACCATTTACTTTTTCAACAGGCAAGTGTACTGTGCATAAATCCACAGGAAACATCTGAACTCCATTAAAGGGGGAATTGTGGACTAAGTGAATCAAATAAATGAGAGCAGGTTGTTGATTTTACAAAAGAGGCTGTAACAAATTATTAGGAAGAAGTTCCTATTATTTAACTACACTCAGCATATGCTGTAAGTTCACCTGCTCTTTTGTGAACTCTGTCCTTCTGTCTATAGAGGACATCCTGGATGAGGTGTCAGGGTTGACAGTGGAGAGCCCAAGTGAGACTTTGGAAGAAGGACCTCGACTGACCCTGCAGAGCAAAGCAAATCATCAGGAAGACAAAGTCTGCAAGGGCACTGGACATAAGGTATGATATGACATGCAAAGACATAACTTTGGTATGTATAGACACTAAGCCAAACACACACACAGGCACTTTCATGCAACAGAAAAGGAGATTAACAGTCGGGTTGTACAAAGGTCAGAGTATCATACCCACCATGTTGTTGCAGACCAACAACTTTGGTCTCAGTTTGCATGTGTGTATTTGGGATTTTGAATGCTGCACTGTTGTGTTGCTTTCAGTCTGCTGAATTATGTGTGTGTGTGTATGCGTGTGGCCTGGTATTACTCATGTTATAGGGACTTGATGTCCTTATGGAGACAAAAGAAAGTCCTCAAATTATTACACTTTAGTGTAATGGCTTGGTTTAAGATAAGAGTGAGGTTAGGTGTTAGGCAAGTAGTGGTTATGGTTAAGGCAAAGGTAAGTCTCTAGGAAATTATTGTTAATGTAATGTCCCCTGGAGTGATGGAAACATAATGTATGTGTGTGTTTTACCGTCATTTTAGATCTCAGATCTGTACAGCATAAAAAGAAAACAGTGAGGTAACTGCACAGGCCAACATGTTCTGATGTATGTTTGAACAAACACTTAAAGTCCACGTTTTTATGATTATAGAAACCTTCTGGCAGGTCTTAAATGTTTCTGTCAGGTGTTTTTTTTTTTTTCTTTCTCTGTCAGCATAGCATATAGCCAAAAAGTCAAAAGCAATATAATGAAAAGCTGGGATGTGTTCAGAGGCTTTTTAGATAGCCTGTTTCACCCCCACATAATTGTTTTGAAGTTTCTTTTTTATAAATTCAGGTTCAACTTGATGGTAAATGTGATTGTTGTTTGTGGTGGGTTCAGTAGTTATTATGTCAGCATGTCAGTCCTAGCACATGGACAGATGTGTGTGTACAGAATATCCTGAATGTGTGAGTGCTCTGGAGCACAGAGATGGAGACAGACAGGTGAGTGAAAGAGTGAGTGAACAGCATCACTTTCTAATTACGATTATGTCTGGTCTGATCAGGGTCGGCACACTGATTGCTGGAACGCGTCGTGTGCCAGCTAGTCTCCCCTGGATACGGCTGTCACTTCCATTACCATGGTGATGTCAGATAACCAGTCAGCACCAGAAACATTTTCTGTAACTCTCTTTTGATAGCCAGACATGAAGAAGCGATAAGGAAAGGAAAGGGATTGTGCTGTGTGTTCTCACTTGGATATGTTGTCAGTGAGCTTCAGTCTCAAGGGAGAATTAAGCTCCAGCCTAGACTCAGCCCTGGTGGACAGCGGTGGGTCTGTGACTCCAATGTGCCATCATCAGCTGGGAGCAAAGTATGAGAAGATGAGAGAAGTAGCGACAGATCTGGTTGCCAGGATGTCTGGATAGGGATGAGAGGCCTGCTTAAGTCTTTTTCAGTGCACTTGATGTGTTGATGTGGTTAAAACATCCAGCCATTCTAAACTTAAAGACTTTGCTATTTTAACCTCATAGCGATGTAATATGCAAAAGAAAATCCATTAAAATTTATTCTAACAGAGCGCAAAACAAAATACAGCGTACAGTCTTTACATAGTACTTTACTAAAGTTTTGGGGTTTAGTTGTTTTAATGTTTAAAAGTTGATGGTGTGTAATGACTTTACAGAGTGTTTGAGGCAATTGTGTGTAACACCTCAGTAGCATTAAGTGAGGGGGATAACTCTATATGGAATTTAAGTAAAAACAGATTTCAAGTCTTCAGTCAGCACAAAATGAAGGTTGGTTAAGATCCCTTTGGAGACACAATAATGAGAATATTGTTTATCTGAGGTTGGCTTTACATAATTATAGAAGGTAAAATAATGCCCTGCAAGCAAGGCAATCCAGGGAAAAAGAGGAGCTCTGGAAGTCTCTGATCCTCATCTCACCTTTCAGTCTGTCACCTTCTGTTTCAGTCTGACATGTGCTGCATGATTTCTGCCCTGACTTCCATCTGCTGCCTCCTTTACTCATCCTCCATTTTCTCTGCTTTTAAAGAGGTACTATCATATACTTTATCTCCATAATTCAAAGCAAAGATGTGAGCATGTCCTGTCTCAGACATGACAGATCCCGTCTGCCTATCTGCCATCCTTTGTGTGAATGCTTCTTTTGTTGCCTGTGCTTCCAGTTTCCTTCTGACTTCCTGTCCTTCTTCACCTTCCCTCCTCACTAAACCCCTGCTGTTCATGATCATAAACAACATGGGGCTGCTGTTGGCTCTCAAACAGCTCAGCTCCCTTAGTTTTACAGTGGGGAGGGAGCTCTGACCTCAGCATGAAGCACTTGGAAGCTTCCTCTGTCAACAAAGACAGTCCAAACTTGCCACAGAATCCCCGGAAACTCCCAGAATCATTCATTGTCGTTTGCTCTTTTTTGTCTTCATGTTGATTACTCTTTTGTTTTCCTGCTGTCCTCTTTTGAAAAACACTGAAGTGCTGAGCATTGCATCTCTTCATTTCACCCAGTGCCTGCAGTCACACGGTAGCAAGACCGAGGAAAAACAGGCAAAGTGGGACAATTTTAATTATCCCCACATTCTAATTACTTCACTCTCCACAGTGTCTCACATCATTTAGTGGAGATAAATGAGTGTCTAGATAGCTGGAGGAAACAAGGAGATTCATTATTTTAGACAAAGCACGGAGCCACCTCCTCAATTTGATAAACTAACCAGAGAATAAAATGGTGATTGCATTGGATAAGAGTGATAAAAGAGATGACGGTGATTGCTAGTGTTCTCCATGGCATAGTCAGCTTTACTTAGAAGTGCTGGTTATAATTTACACACTTCTTCCATTCTGGCTTTGTGGCAGGTGAAGTGGAAAATAAATAAATTGAAAGATGGGGGACAGTTTTAATCAAGCTTTGTTTTGATTGACTCCTAGTGGTAATAAATAAATAAGGTTTAATAAATGCTTGCATGCAGTGAGTTTAATGTTGTTACTCATGACTAAAAATCCACAGCATCAGTGCTGTATGGCTTTAGCCTTAAAATAATATTCTTTAAATCTTCCTTTCATTTCTCTCCTGTCACCGTCCTCTAATCAGGCCTTTGTCTGACTTGCTGCTGTTGTTTCACAGTCCTCCACTGGAGGGAGCTCTGTGCTGATTCATTAAGACTGAATGACAACAATAGTGTTTCTAACACTGAATCAATCTGCTGCAAAATGAAGAAGGATTATCAGTCCTGACTGGATTATTTCAGTTTTTAACTATTTATAGATTTGATTCCTTATAATACAGTCTATAATTGAAATGTACAGGACTGGGTTTTTTGTTCTATTATTGATGCTGAAGAAAGGAAAAAGCCTTCCACTTAACTCTCGCTTCTTCCTCATAGGAAGAAGAAATTTGCAATCCACAAATCAAGTGCTTCAGAGGTTCGATGTTCACATGTATATTTGTGAAGACTCATGTCATGACATGATGGTCTTTTCACCTCAGATTAAGTGATTTAAAGCCTCTCTCTGTGTTGTGCCGTGTATCCCATCATTCCTCACTGGGATTTATGGATTTGCCTGTTCCCTGATTTCACATAAAAGTGAACTTTAAGACTCTCCCTTCCCTTTTCTTCCCTCTTTTTGTGTTCGCTGACAGTTTTCTCTGAAAAACAATGTCCAAGGTGAGATGAGTTATGAATATGTTTTATCAAAATTACTGTAGTTCTATTTAATCATACGTCATACATGTCAAAATGCTATAAGCAGAGTGGTTATGCCAAGTGTGTGGATATGTGTAATCTCTGTTTATCCAGGCTCTCACTGTGCATGGTTTCAGCTGGCGGGTGCATATGAGAGCAGGTTGGAGCTTGCCTCCACGCTCCTCCCTCATGCTGCACCTCTCTCCCTCTCTGTTCCGGAGGGCGGGTTGGGATGTAGTACATTTTGTAAAAAGATGAAGATTTGTCTCTGTGGTTGGAGAATGCATGCATTGGGCTTATCTGAGAAAAGGTACTGCTTCCTGAGCTCTCTTTGTTTACTTTCTGACTGCTTCTCATTGTTTGTTTATATATTATTTCCTAAGCTGTTGCTGGTTTCACATGTCTGAGGTCAAAGATTTGTGTATTGCGTGTGAGCACAGTAGGTCAGTGGGTGTACACATATATAACTTTGTACTGATTTACATCATTGGATTTAACAAAAAATTGTTTCTTTTTACACAAACATCTTTAAGATCAATTTATTTTAGATTTAAGATTTTAATCATAATTAGTATTCATGCCTGAGGGAGGACGATCCTCAGCCTTTTCTTTAAATTCAGCTTCCATAACACTTTTTTTCTTATCACCACTCTCAGATCAACAAAACAGTTTAAGGCATTAGGGCATGATGTTATTCCTTAAAGTAACTCGTGTTTCTCAGGAATGACTAGTGTGCAGAAAGTGTGCTATTATAAGCCATCACTTCACTGACAAAGGAGTGTGAATTTCAAATTTTAGACTGAAGCAATTATTTGAAATTTCAGCAAATATTGGTTAAAATTTACTTCAAGCTACTTTGACTATCAGAATCATCAGTGCATTTTTTATTTTACTTGCTCCTTTTGATCATGTAATCTTTATGGAACTGAATTGTACTGCACTGTTAGTACACCGTGTCAATGACATGAATATGAGCTAAAATACATATTTACCAAGGCTGTTGACCTTGTCAGTCGTAGTGACAGAGGTCTCTGAGCTGTGATGAAAAAGAGGAATAGACAGAGTGAGAGACAGCGAGAACAAAGCCAGATGTCTGTTGTCTTTTTCTGCTGAAGTGTTTGGCTCTCACCACCCATAGCTTCCTTCCTCCTTTCTCCACCCCTCTTTTCTTTCATGAGGATGTGATGCTTGATCTTGCTATCTAATGTTGTATTCTACGTGGCTGTGGTGCTCAAATACCTGGACAGAAGAGAGAGAGAGAATCAAGCACAGACAGAGAGAGAAAAAGAGGGAGTATAAACAGGGAGACGACTGGAGGAGTATCTAGAGGCAGTCAGGAGACCGAGAAAGACACTGATAGATTCTGTAGAGGTGTACCATTTGGCTGGACAAGTTCCACCTCCATACATCCTGCACAGTGAGTGTATCAGTGGATTAAGGTAAAAACAAAGACTTCTGACTCTGAGTGGCACAAAGGAATGGAAGCTACCTGCACTAGAAAAGCTGGATCAGAAAAGGGACTCCTGACTTCTCAGTGAACTCTGCTTGACCTGCTGACATATCAGCCTTTAAGAGAAGCAGCAACGCTAAACACTCGACTGAATCCATCTACATGTTACAGCTGGTAAGCAGTGTGCGTCTGCACACGCACAATGGCATTTGTTGGATTTGTGTGAATTTGGTCCTGCAGAGGTCAGTGATTATGTCACCATAGCAGCAAGGTTCAATTCCCGGTGGAGCAATACATTTATATAAGCTTTCTGTCTGATTACACATTGTGATGAGATTAACCACAGTGTTCAGATCCCACTGTGTCATCCTATTTATATGTCAGTAGAATAGGAAAAAAAACACCAAACACTACTTATTAACCAGGCTCCCTTGCACTGTAGGATGCAATGCTGCAAAAAACAACAAGAGCCACCTGCCAACTGTCATATATTATATGACACAATTGACTGAACGGATGACCAGAACACTGCTAATCTTGATTATTAGCCTCTAAATATAAAAAAAAAATCTAATTCCTGACATCATTTTGTTGCCTGAGACTATGTTGCCCACATACCAAGAAGTCAGCCACCCTTCTCCAGCCCATCCATTTATCTCTATCTCCTGCTGTCATCTCTCTCTGTTGCAACTCCATCTGTCACAGTCCTCTGGCTGTCAAAGACAAGACCTTGCTTCCTAAAAGACAAGACTCCCAGTGGTGTCGCTCTGTTTTGTGTATTCAGCATTTTCATTCCATATATTTAAATATTAATCACAAAGCCAATACATCATCTCAGCTCTGTGTCCAGTTTGGGGAGTTTTAAATTGTTGGCAATGCAGATACTTTTTTAGATGTAAGTGATGCTCCCACTCCAGTGCAAATGACTGACATGAGCAAGAACTGAATCCAACAGGGCAGGCTAGGCTGTATTATTATTATTATTATTATTTTCACTTGCGTATGATTATTTTATCGTGTTGTAGCTGTGGTTTTCTTTAAGTCACTGAAGGAGCTCATCTTAATTTAATACAAAGAATATTCCGTATCAGCATGTCTGTTGTGTGTGTGTGTGTGTGTGTACAGCAGTGCCGTGAAAGCGTTTTGAATACCACAATGGGAAACCGGGTTTGTCATTGCTGCAGCCCAGCAGGAGACAAACCCTGGAATCAGCAAAGACAAGTCGTCAGCTGGTCTGTATATGTCAGATACTTGGTAGAAACACATAAGCAGGTGCAATGTTAAAGTTAAAGAACATTTTCATTGACTCCATACACACGGATGAAAGGCGTTTGTGTGACATACAGTACTTTTGCAGATGTACTCATATGACTAACTCTCCCAACCGCAGGGTTGAATTAGAACCATTAATCCCATCAAACTCAACAACGCCTGGAAATTTGGTCGCTCCTGATTTGCATTTTTTGCAGAAGCAGGTTTTGGCTTGCATCACTTGATCAGCTGTCCCCAGAGTTCCCCTGCAACAACTCACTCTGTCTAGCTGTGCTACTTTGCTTGTTCTTGCTATAGAGTATAAAATATCTGATAAGAAATAAAAAAAACATCTGCCTTATTTCTGTAAATGTTTATTTTATGAATATCAGTGGCATTTACCTCTCTTGCAGTTAGTGTTTGTGTGGGCTGAGCTCCTTCATCCACTTACATTCCAAGGAGAATTATTTTCTAATTTGTCTTTTTGATAACATTTTTTTAACCTACATTAATTTAACCTAATTTACCATAAATGTAACTCAGTGCTATTGCTATTGTGCTGCTTTGTAACATGTAACTGACTCTTGCTCAACAGACCTTGTGGTTCTAGCATCAGCCTGCCTGGTCCACAAACAATTACATCAAACCACAGATTCACCAGAATGTAACACCAGAAATAACAGCATTTTTGTTCACTGCAAATAAATTATTATGTTGTATTTGCAGACACTGGAAAGATTAACAATAGTTTTTAGAACTGTAGGAATAAGTATAGCTGTATTACTCACAGTACATTTCAGATTTGTGTTAACACACCCAGCCTCTGACTTTTTAAATGACTCTTTTATCACTGTCTCTCTGTTTTTCTGCCTCTGGTGCCTACGCACTGTTGCGCTCACCATCACAGCCATAAAACTGTGAATGAAAAGTGGACAGAAGCTCTTGATACTAACATTTCTGTGTTGGCTGCACTATGTAATTCTTCAGCTGCTGTTGCACATCAAGAAGATGCACCTGAGCTTTTTCCAGAAGCTGTTGAGTCTCTCTTTGTTTTTTTATGAAACTTGTAATCTTTGCCAATTTAGTTTTTTAAAGGTAGTGGTGTAATCAGCTAATATTGGTCTGTACTGCCAGACGGAGGTGGAGGGGAAGAGTGCCCCCTTAACATGAAGCCGACTTCCTTTCTGCTCTGGCAGGTCTGCTCATGCTTGGTATTTTTGATACCAGGGATGTAGGTGGGTGTTGTTATGACAGGTTTTGCAAGAATGTGCATATTTTCCAGTTTGTATGGAATGTACTGTATCTGTGTGTGAGCAAAGAAAAAAAATAGGTGTATCACTCATGACATCCTGGTTTTGTATTTTAGTCATGTACACAAGCCTATGTTCAATGATTTTTCTTTTTCTTTTTGTGGAGGAGCTTCTGTCATATCGCCCATTACTTTTATAGTATCTCTTAGAAGATTCATACCAGAAATGCACTGGCATTATTTTTTTCTTTGTCTGTTTCCGAACAGAGCACAGAGCAGGTCACTGCTTTCTGCCGCAGTCTCCATGACATGAATTCCCTGGAGTGCCCTATGTCGTCGTCCTCATCGTCATCTTCATCATCCCTCTCTCCGAGTCCTGTTGCAGCTTTACCACCCACAGCAGGAACTGCCACCCAAAGACAGCTCTCGCACGCTGACAAACTCCGCAAGGTCATCAATGAACTAGTGGAAACAGAGAAGACTTACGTCAATGTGAGTATGAGCTGTCTGGAATGCTTGACTGTTTTAGACAATCTTGACTGCATAAATTAACGCCTATTGAGTCAGTCATTCACATTTGTATCTGTTTTATAATGATAATAGACAAAGGTACACTCAGGTATTGTTGTTGGAGTGTCATAATTATTGTAATAGCTATATGCAGGATGTTGACATACTTTTCATGTCACGGTGGGATATGTTCATGCCCATGCAAACTGATTTCCTTCTATTATTTAAATTTATCAGTAATGGTGCCACACTATCAAGAAATGTTGTGCCTTATTCCTCCTTGAATATTTAGTTTTCACATTCCCTTCCTTTTCACCTTTTCCAGGACCTGGGTTGCTTAATAAAGTGCTATTTGACACCTCTGCAGAAAGAAAGCTTCCTTACACAGGATGAGGTACGTCCTACCTGTGCTATATACCTCAATAAAAAACTCATTATTTACAACAGAATTATCATAAACACACATAACATAACTAATAGATACATAAATAATAGCAGTCTGAATGATACTCTGTTGTTGTAGCTGGACGTCTTGTTCGGTAACCTCAGGGAGATGGTGGAGTTCCAGGTGGAGTTTCTCCGAACACTGGAAGATGGAACCAGGCTGGTGCCAGATCTTGACAAACTGGAAAGGGTAGAGCAGTTTAAGGTGAGAGAAGGTCAATCTCTTTAACTCCATGCATGATTTAGTTTTAAATCCTCTAGTAGCTGTCTCATTTTAGGATTACTTCCACTACATGCAGCTATTTAAAAATTATATATGGTGTTATTGCAGTTGAACAGGCATGTTTGCCCTGGCTCATTTTGGCCAGGGTCAGCAGTGCAAATAATGAATTTGGTTGTATTTACTTTTTTCTAACTGCTGTGGCCACCCACTTTCACCCACAGATCAAATCCAACTGAGAGACCTGCCTCAAGTAGTACTCGATAAACTTGTTCCCCTGATTAAAATCCAAAATACTTAGAATGTGATGACATGACATGCTTATCTGTTTCCACAGAAAGTGCTTTTCTCCGTGGGTGGTTCATTCCTGCATTATGCTGATCACTTCAAAATCTACAGTGCCTTCTGTGCCAGTCACACCAAGGTCCCAAAGGTCCTGGCTAAAGGTAAAAACATTTGGACTGGCATTGATCATTTCCCTGTAGCATCACTGCCATGTGATAGTTAACAGGCAAGTATAGCAGAGAAAGCTTGTTATTTTAGTCGCATGCCAGGCAGCACAGATGACTAGCTGCAACTAGTATTTTCATATGAGGCATAAACTTGAGACTGAGAGTGTGTGTGATCATCCTGTCCAGGCACATTTGAAAGTATAGCTTCTGCCCCTTGCACTTTAATTTCCACCTTTTATCTAACAGTTTTTTTCTGGTTGTCTTTCTGGTGCATTTGTCCATATCTGTTTCAGTGTTTTTACCCCTCTATGAAATACTCATATTTCTGCTCCTCCAGCAAAGACTGACCCGGAGTTCAAGGCTTTCTTGGCTGAGAGAAACCCCAGACAGCAACATTCATCCACACTGGAGTCTTACTTGATCAAACCCATTCAGAGGGTCCTGAAGTACCCGCTGCTGCTAAAGGAGCTGTACTCTCTCACTGACCCTGACAGTGAGGAACACTACCACCTAGACCGTAAGCCTGTCTCCCTCTCTCTCTCTCTCTCTCTCTTTCAATGTTGCATTCACTTTTTGATGTAACACTAAACAGTTGTGAAGCTGGTAGAGTATCATCTAAGAATGGTAATTATAATTTGGAATTGATGAATGTTTGTTCCATTCAGTTGCAACAAAGGCCATGAACAAGGTTGCAAGTCACATCAACGAGATGCAAAAGCTCCATGAGGAGTATGGCGCAGTTTTCGACCAGCTAATATATGAACAAACTGCAGATAAGAAAGAGGTAAACATGGTCAATGTTATCTGTCATCTTGAAAGTTATCCACTGACTTAAATATATGTGTTACAAAGGGTTTTATTAACTCTACTTCTGTCAGGTGGCTGACCTCTCGATGGGGGATCTTCTGCTACATTCCACAGTGGTGTGGATGAACCCTCCAGCCTTTTTAGTCAAGAGCAAAAAAGACCCTGATTTAGCTGCTTTTGGTAAGGAGTAAAGCACTCTTCAATTAAATTGTGGAAAGATTTGATTTTTATTTTTACTTTTCATATAAAGTGTACCATGCTGTCCTTGCATTGAGATATCCCACACACCCAGCAATACCTTCTGTCTTGAAATTTTCCTCCGCTCAGACACTTATACAATAAATATTACATTCAGCCAAATCACAACAAAAGTCATCTCACCTTGATTAGATTTGATTTGATTTTTGATTTGATTTATTCTTTCCAGCATGTAAAGACAGTTGATATGTCAACACACATAATTTTACACATATCCAACAAATGCTAATCCAATATCAATTTGCTTATACCTAGTACATGCTTGAATGGAGTAGGAAGAAATCAGACTTATCCAGTCCTACCCCATGACATCATCAGACAAGAAGGATCTAATGGTACTTACTGATCTCTGGTCAGGTTCAGGTGATGAGCCCTTCTCTGCAATTCTTCTCCTGTAAGACAGAGTCCAGAATTATTTCTGAAAAACAGTTGCTATTTTTAAAAACATATCATCATGTTTAATGTTAATATCATAAAGCACAGACCACACAATTCCTCCTGAACTCCACATTTTTAAAACCTAAATTCCTTAGATTTCTCTAGATCTTACAGTGATACTTCTCTGTCAGCAACAAAGTGCATTTAAATTACGATTTTACTACATATCATCTCATAATACTGAGGAATAGTGAGAGTGATGAGTACATGAACTTATTCTTCAGGTGGCACAACAAAATCCATTGCGACCAACATTGGGGTTTGCTAAATCTACTGTATGGCAACTGTGTCAAGTTTCACTTTTCTGTAGTACCCCATCTTATGCACAATTCTTATCGCTCTTTTTTTGTAATATATACTATTATTAATACTATAGAGGAAAAAGCCAACAAATCCCCCCTGAGAAGGGGAGAAGAAACCTCGGACAGACCCCAGCTCTTGGTGGACGTCCTTGTGCCTTGACTGGTTGGAGTGAGTGGATAGAGGAAAGAGAAAAGAAAAGAAAAGCAACAAGACACAACAAACACAACAATAAACAACATTTCCATGGGGCTTTCGCTGGCTAGATGATAGCGAGAGGACATGGTTGCTTTGTACATGTGATGTTATTCAAGGCTATTTTTCCTTGAAAGCTGTTACTAAAAGCATCCAGTGCATCAAATTGTCAGTGTAATAAATTGGGCAGTAGAATGTTTTTTATAAATATGTGATAAATTAATGCAGACCCTCCTAATGGTTTCTTTCATTTCCCACTTTATCTCTCCTTTAGTGTTCAAAACAGCAGTTGTATTTGTGTACAAAGACTGCTCCAAGCACAGGAAAAAAATTGTAAGTATTGCTTTTCCCATTTTCTGTTGATTAATTCCAGACTCAGAAACATTATGTTGGAGTGAATATGTGTTTTTTATATAACTTTGTTTAGTTTAGTGTGGCACAACAACATCCAGCCCCCAAAGATAAAACAAAAATGAGGGTTAATGTTTTCCATCAATGTTTTCCAGAAGGGCTAAAGTTATTGAATGAGGCTAGTTGCTGCCAACTGAACCGACTAAAAAGACTTTGCACACACACTTTACTGTTCCCTTAGTGCAACACAGTAGTCTGTTAAACCTCTGTCTGTCACTGGACTCTAGTGCTCTCTGGTGTCACGCTGATGTATTGCATGTTGGGTATTAAACCGGTCTCTCTTTTCCAGGGTGGATCTCACCGTGTGTCTGTCACTGATGACAAGGATCCTTTCCGTTTCCGTCACATGATTGCAACAGACTCTCTGCAAGTCCGTCCCCTAGCAAGTAGGTCTATTTAAATAAGCTGCACACCAAATATTCACTTTATTGACTAGTATGACCACAGTGTAAAATTACATCATTATAAAACTTTATAAACTCCAGCTTTTTAGAATTGTGGTTTTTACCCATGCTACATTCTGTGTTTCATGTATACTGTGCTATATATCATTTCATATGTTTTACATCATTCTGTGAGAATGTGTTTGGATTAAGAAGCTTTAATCTGTGCTGAAAGTATACAGCCTCAAAAGGGGGAAACTGGGCTTTACACCTAGTATTTTGGTGGTGCTTGAACTAAATTTCTGCTCCTCTCCACAGGAGATTTGCCTGCAGTTTGAAAGTGCACATATTGGGTTTTTTTTACGAATAAATATATTCTTCATTTTTATGTCGAGTCAAATGATGCCATTTTTATACTGAAGTCACTGTGGTCACTCCGTTGCATGTGAGAAAGTCTGTCACACAAACCACAAAGGTCAATTCCGAAGGCCCAGTACTATAAATTCTGATAGCTTCAAAGGCTCTGGAGTCCACTCAGTGCTGCTGCTGTTTTGCTCCCACAGAAAATAAATGATGAACCATTGTAAACAAAACAGATAAATACCTATTAGTGGGTCTGCATGCAATCTACCTCACATCCTATATCTGTCCTGGATATCACCCTCTGGTGATTCAGCTCGAGTGTGATTGTTTATATGTCTAATGGCCTGTTGCTAAAAGGAAGGAAATCGATGATGGTAATTAACAGAATGTTTTGATAAAAGTAAATCACATTTCCCTTCTCTGCTGTTCGCTCCCTCTCTCAGACTCTGAGGGTACTGCAGTGTGTGAGATAGTTCACACAAGATCTGAATCTGAAGGAAGACCAGAGAGAACCTTCCAGTTGTGCTTCAGGTATGATCCCCCCACCCCAAAATAAACAGTACACACGTATTTAACACATTCAAAACTGAAGGTATACAACAGCAAAAAGACAATTTTAGTATGTGTGTGTATATACATATATATATATATATACATATATTCTTGTGTTTCTGTTCAATTTGCAGCTCTCCAGTTAGTAAGAAGGACTTCCAGAATGCAGTCCACTCCATCCTTAGGGAGAAGCAGCGCCGGCAGTTTCTTAAGACTGAGGCTCTACCACCCAACCAGCAGTATGTCCCATACGGGGGCAAACGCTTGTGTGCCCTTAAAGGGGCGCGGACTGCCATGAGCAGAGCAGGTGACAAAGCTTTAATATACACTAGTTCTAGTTTACAGAAACCTCAAAAGCTAAGCAACATGTTGTGCCAATAACTTTGCAGATTTACTTTGTTTTAAAAAAAAAGTCTTTTTCTGCCTGTTTAGCTTCAGCTCCATCTCGAAAGCTGGGCCACAGGAAGCTGACGAGGAACCACTTCACCATAGATACTGACCTGATTTTCCATGGCAACAACAACATAGATTCTAACTCCTCCCACCTCCCTTCATACCCTAGCTCCTACTTACCACTGTCTCAGGATGTCCTCCTTCAGTCCCACAAACCTCAACGGGAGGACACGGACCTTTGGGTGGAAGAGCAGTTTAACCTGGGTTGCTATGAAGACCAGGGAGAGGGCATTGACATGGGGCAGGTGAAGGAGACGGACATTTTAAGCGACGATGATGAGTACTGCAAGTCTGTCCGAGCTGCATCAGCAGAACCGTCCGACCTGGAAGGGAAGATGGAAGGACTCGACCTACAGGGTGGAGAGATGAACAGACAGGTAGAGACTACAGGTAAAACCATGCCAAGTATGATTCAGGATGAGAAAACTGATCAAATAAGGCATGGTGATAATTCAGACTCCTCATGTGGTGTCTCTCTGTCACGCTGTGCAACCCCAACCCTAAAGCTCACCCCCTTAAAGCAGTGTGCAGCGGAGGAGGCCACAGACAAGGACCATGATGTCTGGGTGCGGCGAGATGACTTTGCTAATGGGTGCAACAGTGACGTCTTCTGACTGGAAATAAAAATCAAGATGAAGAAAGGAGACAAAGGGTGGATTCATCCACTTTTTACATAAATGAGTACAAGATAATGGGCAAGAGGTTTTAAACAAGCTTTAAATATGTAGAAGTTGGAGGAGAACGCTTGCAAAGGAGGTACTAAACCTCAGCCTGTCCTCCCTGTGTCACTACGTAACCCTCTTCTTCCCACTTCACCTGCACCGCCCCTGTTCTGACAATCCTAAATTACTGAAATATAGTAAGGGAACTTCTCTTCATGTGAGATATCTCGAGACCTAGAGATTCTCACCCTGAGCTGTGCATAAAAGTCAACTAGAAAGAATACAGTCGTAACTGTTTTGGCCATACACCCAGGCATCACACACACCTGTGGAATGTAAATGTATGAGCAAGACAGCACTGCATGTACATGCAAATCAACGTGGGTGTGTACTGTAAGTCCAAACAGTACACAGAAGCACAGACACAAAGACTAGGCAGCTACTGTACCATGCACACACTTTACTGAAGACATCATCAATGAACTGTGACCTTCTGGCCAAAAATGTCTATTTTTCAACACAGGAATGAGGGTGTTATATTTTTCTGACTCAGAAACCGTTTGTATTTTAACACTCAAGGGCTGTGTGTTACTGAATTTATCTTCAGGGGCCTTTGGCTTAACGACTGCTGTATAAAAGACAGTGAGACCTAACTAGCTTTATTGTGCTTTTTTAAAATTGTTTTAACTTAATATCAGCTGCACATTGGTGTATAGCTAGGAGTACAACAGAGTGCTGTTAACCTCTTGTATAAAATGTTTTGAAGCTCACTTCTATCTCTTAGCATACCCATTTAAAACAACTTGGACCACAGATAATCTACCTATTCTTTATTTAAAAATTGCCTTTTAATTGCAATTTTTAACGGTTTACACCACATTCAACTGCCCAGTGTTACAGTGTTTTAGTTCCAGGAACTTGTGCCCTTTAAAGGAATGTCGGGCCTTTTATTTTGTTGCTCTTATTTTCGTAACTGTTCAATTTCATCAATAATAATAACCCTTTCTTGTCACCAAGGCTATACTCTTGTCATGCTCCAGGTCCTTGATAATTAGCATTATAATTCCTACATTAATCCTGTTTTACTTGAATTTTCTTTGTTGTTTTGAAAAAAGGTATTCCACAGAGCCATGCTAGTGACTGTACTGTAACTCCAGGGAGAAGGGCAATCATGCAATCATCTTCAAGTTACATCTTCTTCTGCTCTCTCCAGCTCCTTTGACCTTTGTCATGACAAGAGGTATCACAACCACACAGATGCTGGCTAAGCTAAGACAGACTTCCTATCCATGACGTTTGACATCACTCACTACTGTTGTACGGTGTATTTCCACCTCACCCTCCTGCATTTCTTGCCTTTTCCACCAGGCTGTGCTGCTTCACGATATGCCATCACAACAACACACTGTTGCTGAGATCAACACATTCATGTGCACCTTAATGAATGTATTGGACATGCACTTAATATCCAACTGTGGGGACAGGGGAAGGGTCTGCGTGCTACTCTGACTCGCAGTGTAAAGAAAGGAGGGGAAAATAATATACGTAGATGCTCTTTTTATTATGATACCGGTTTCTTAGATTTTAGTTTAGTTGGTGATGCTGCCCGGTAAGGACATTTACACTGAGGTACCATCATCAGGCATTGGAGGTAAATCCTCCAAGAACCCTTTGTACTTTTAAAACTGTGTTCCAACCAAAACTGTGGAGTATTATCCTTTTTATGTTCAAATAAATTCTAAATTTAGTTTTGTGTGAAAGTGTTTCTTGTTTTTTTCATTTGATTGTGAAGCAAAAAATCAATTTCTTTCTGCAACATCAGTGTATAAATCTTAATAACCATCATTTCTTTCTGAAGGGGAGAAATAGTGTTTTTATTATTGCCATTATCTTTCACAGATTTTATTCCAAGATCACATTCATTTGATCACATATAATGACTGATCCCAGACTGCTTTGCAGATACACTCTGAACATGTAATGTCTTGAACTGAAAGAAGAGAGGATTACAAACGAAAGCTCCGCAGGGACACAGCGCTGCTTAATATTCATATCAGGCTACTGTGTTGGTAGGACTGTGGCTCAAGTCTTCTCCTAGAAGGACTGGATGGTCATTTTCTGACTTAATTAAGTTTGTCTATAGGCTGTATGTCAGGAGTCCAAAGTTGAGTTGGCAGGTTTTCTCAGATCACCTGGCTCCCAGCTCTGAGAGAGTTTACATATGTTAAACAAAATGTCAGTTCTGAAGACTCTGAGATGGCTGGCACCGGGAATCTTTGGCAAATGTCACAATATCAACCCAGAGTTAACAAAGGTTTTCAGTTCAGTGCTTTCCACATAAATCAGAGGTTTTATGACACTCCACTGACAAGGAATTTTAAAAGATAAGTGTTCCTTCATGCCTCTGTGAAGATGTTAAAATATTTTCGTGAGACTTCAGAGCACATCAAGTCACTCCATTTACATAATGTCCTGTTGTGTGAACTATCTGTCATGGATGGGGAAGCATCCAGTGCGCCAGTGAGATAAAGACTTTGCTTGTCTGCGGTGAGAGAGAATCTGGCATCTGCCCTGTAACCTGAAGATTATTCTCATCTCATCAGGACCCGTGGAGAGATCCCTTGCCAATCTACGTGTATCTGCTCTTTATAACCAGAATTAGATCAGGGCCACCTTCGGTGTAAAAGCCGGCCTCTCAAGTTCGGAAAAAATAGGAAGCATTTCATTTCTGTTTTAGGCACTAAAATAAATCCAAATGATTTATTTGACTATGTCCTATGAACAGCTGTATCCTACACGAGTGCTCCAGGCCATTTTAAACCTGGGATGGGCTATAATTGACATGTCTGCCACATGATGACTTAGTACATGTCACAGTCAACGTATTACTATTTTTAACGAGCAAATAAGCAGAATCTAAAGCCTAGTACAAAGTGTCTATTTGGTTGGAACAACGCGGATTATGTTTAGATTGTTTTTATTTTGAAAACTCTTAACGGAAGTCAACTAAAGTTCGGTCTTGGCTGACACTGATCTTGCGCTCACTCTTTACCACCGTCACCTGCAGCCGTGGACGCGCATGGACCAGGGTGGACGTCTTTACTCTGACTTTTTTTCTGTAGCAGGTTTTGTTTAGAAGATTGATTTCCTTCAGGACAGTTTGAGCCATCGTCGTTCGTTTCTCTGAGTGATGCCAAGTGGAAAGGACCGAACTGGGACCCAAACTTAGGTCGCCTGCTGGCATGGCACGTCAGGTGTTTCCGCGCTGGGATACAAGTCGGTTCCTTCTGTCATGCCGTCGCTATTCGCGGTGAGTTCGCCTGTAGCACTATGGAGGAAAGAAAGAGACTTTTCCTTTTCTGTCTTCTTCTGGCGGGACATCTTTGTCTGAGCTCAACACAAGTCCTCAGAATCGGTAAGCGCAACAGCTGTTTACGCACGGTGTTGCTGGCGTTTGCGTGCGTTCTCAGTTGGGTCGAGACAACAAGAAATCCTAAGCTATATGAATTGTCTCATTTTCAAACAAAAGAGAGCATTTTATGTGCGTAAGCCGTTTTCCTCTTGGTATTTAAAATGTATTGTTCAGGGTTAGTATATCCCGCTAAAAGTGATGATGAGGTTATTTGTTTCATAGTAATGTGAGGGTGTGTCACAGTCTAAATGAGTCGCAGCTGTAGCCAAGGCACCTGGCACCTATCAGCCTTTACTGGGTGCACAGAGTCAGGCTTCTGTAAGTAGAGCTGTAAAATAGAAATGAATTTCAAATCACTAGAACTAAAATCAGTGGTTGACTCAGGTGGAGTTTTCCCTTTGAGCTGATGGTAAAACACCTTACTTGATTAATCACCTTGAACAGAAAATATGTTGGTAAAGTGTCTCTTTATTTTTCTTCAAAATGCTGTTGGTAAAAGGGATGTTTTGATTTTGGACTAAAAGTCTTGTGAACTTTCTGCATATTGTGCTTTCAGTGAATCTTTTAAATCATTTCAAGTTAAATCTGATTTGAAGTTGCATCTTAGAGGATCATATGTGCTTATTGCTACACACACCCAGGCACACAGGTAGTAATAGAATATTGATTTCTCCCATTGCACTCCTGTGGTCACCAGAGACTCACGTTGGGGCATTTTCATTCAAACATGTCCCCAACTTCACAGTGAAACCTAGCTATCACTGAAATGGATGTAGTGTAGGTTCTGAGGGCAGTGTAATCATCTTCTGCTGTGCTGTCACAGGTCATGTGTTAAGAGGAGTGAGAGAACTTCACCTAGACTTGATTAGTCAGAAGGAGCCCGGTGAGTGCTGTGGACTGTGTTCATTATCAGAGCATCTCACTTTCAGGCTTTAAATCAGGCCAGGGTCGACCAGTAATATGTGGATCTAATTGACTGAATAAATGGCGGATTGGAGCTACTTTCACCTGTTCTTAACTTGGAGAAGTATAGGCTAGAGGAGCACAACATACTATATATATTACACCAGAACTCATGGGTTTGCATTTTTAGATGATAGTTAGTTTGATAATATATAATAATGTATCTGATAATAAAGGTTCAGTAGTTTGTTAAATTAACACACACCACATATGACAACTAAGCGCACAATTAAGCATAACACCTTCTGTATCACACTGAAGCTGCAGAGGTTTCTGATTAGTTCAGGGTCACACATTATTATTCAGGACCATTCGAGACCAATAGATTCAGCTCAGATCCCTGGAACAACTCAAGTCCCGAAATTCACACAACTCTAAAATATTTACAGAGGCACTATCAGTGTCTGTGTGCATATTCATTCATTCACTATATGTGTGTGTAAGAGAGTGAGACAAATCACAAAATTGGCAGTGTTTGGCTCCAGGTGTCAGTTTGGTTAAATTAAGCAGAAGCTGCAAACTACATTTATATAAAGGGCACCTGCTTAATTTTGTTTATTAGTCAATTTCCCTTTAACAGCTAGCGATTAGGAAAATGAATGAACCTCTCCTCAGCCAAATTGCCAGAGTTTTAGTGAGTTGGCCTCACCTTTTGTCAAACATGTACACAGATATACTGTGGGTGCTTCAGTTGTGTTTGTTTATTATGCTGGCTGAAACCCAGGATGTTTGACTGTGAGAAAAGAGAGCCGAGTGTGTGTCATGGAATAGCATCAGTACCACTGGTATTTATATGTATGTATTGATCCAGTGGTCTCATGGAGCTTTTCATGTGATGTGCAGATTAGGTTTAGGATGGTAAGTGAAACAAACGCCCGTCTATCCATCTCTTTCTGAATAAAAAGAAATGAATTTGGAGCAGAAGAGAGAGACAACCCGAAGGGAAACTGTGGTCCTTTGCCATCATAACTACAGCCTAACACAAACTGCTGCCATGGTACGAAACCAGTGCCACAGTTGGCAGCTAGTAATTTTCTTTTTTGCATTAACTTATGTTCTTGGTTAATAAGGTAGTTTTTCAGTCATCTCTTTCAGTTTCTATCTCATTTTTTTGTCTTGCTCTGGCTCTGCCTCCCTTGTTTGGTCATTTGCTTCCCTGGATTTGTTGTCAGGAACAAAATATTTCTGGTGTTGTTTTTTTGCAGACAGAACAATATGGTGCAATGTCTGTCATTCACTTTGAGCCCTGTGGTCCTTTTTTACCCTCCCAGATGCATTTTCTCCTGCCTGTAACTACATTACCTCTCTGAAGTACACGGCAACCCTGTTTCCAGAAAGAAGAAAGAAACAGTTGTGGTCTACAAAAAGGAGCACTCTCTCACTTGTCCAGCTCAGTGATATGTTTTTTCCAGAGCTCTTGGAAACATCCCCATATCTATTTTTGTGCGGTAGTTAAATGTGTAGCCTACCTGCCCATTACTGAAAAGTGGTGCTAAATAAAACTGCAGTATGCTTTTTTTGCCAATCAACATCTTAAGGTCAAATATGGACCAATATGAAAGTTTTTTTTTGGATTAGCCAGAGTTAGGCAGAGTGAAGCACTATCAAGACTGTGACAGCCAGATATGAGCTTTGAAACCACCCTTGAGAAAACCATTGGGTGACATAACGGAGGATTCGTCCTTCTTTTATATACAGTCAGTAGTCTTATATCCAGATTGTCAAAAAATACATTTTTAAACCAAAAAATACAGAATGCTTCAGTAATATCTAGTGTTCATCACTGGACTGTTAGCTGTATCACAGCTCTATCTTTTTAACCTTCCAGTGAAGAAATGGCATAAGACATTTTTTAAATAACACACATTTTACACTGCAAATGCAAAAATCATAGATTTTATGTTCACCCACATCCTCAATTTGGCCATAATGAGCTGTCCTCTGATTTAGGTACTCGCTGTGCTTCTTGATTGTGCTTATATTTTATGCAGATCAAATCTACCTACAAAACCCCAGACACATGTTAAAAGGCATTTACGGAGTCCTGTGGGTCCTCCCACACCCCTTTTATGCTGTCTTATAGGCCTGATGGATGTGTGTTCCTGAGGCAAATTACTCCTCATTATTTGGAAGCTGAATGAATGCTTTTAGTGCTCTGAGGTACATTAATTCATTTCCAAAGGAAAATAAAACCCCTGTTTTTAAAAAGAAATGCCACTTTTATGACTGTAGCAGTCACAACCCTCAGTAGAGTTCAAGCTGCTCTGCAAGAGGGCACAGCGCGTGACTAATGTAAAACATAATTATTTGTAATTAAATAGTTAAGTGAAGGATGGTTGCGAGATTTTTTTTTTTATATGTACACATGCACACATCATTATCTCCCTGGTGGGCTGTTGGAGTGATTGATCAGGTCTAGGTCTGCATGACAGGTTGCCACAAAGCTCGGATTTGTTCGTCAGCTTTTTGTTTCATGTTTTCCTCCCAGAGCAGCAGGCAGATAAATCTCTCATTCATCCGTTGTATTGTACGACATTTCCAAATTTTTTGGACATTATTTTCTTCCTATTATAGCTATGTGCCTGGTAATCACAGCAAATGCATAAGGAGTGACAGTTTTTGGTTTATTCCCTAGCCCTGCGATAGACTGGCGACCTGTCCAGGGTGGACCCTGCCTCTCGCCCCATGTCAGCTGGGATTAGCTCCCCCCATGACCCTCATTAGGATAAACAGTATAGATAATGGATGGATGTTTATTCCCTAAAGGTTCTTGATTATAATCACTAACTTGCTGCTGTTGCATTGGTAAGACGTTATTTTTAACACAGGATGTCTTGTGAGCACATGTACTTGTTGTGTGTGTATTTTGGTGCAGGTGTGTTTACTATTGTGTGTATGTTGTGTGACTGGATAAAAATGTGTGGCCCTTGTAAACAAACTGATATTTTTAAGCCCGCATAGAAACCGAAAGCTTTACAGATGAGTCTTTTAGTCTAATCTGCGACAGTGACATTTCTCCCCCTGCCTCTCAAGTCATCATCCACCTATTGCAATACCCCAGTAACTCACGGTGTCACACAACTTCCCTGGACTTTCAGCACCGCTTGTTTGTAGAAGTAAAAAACTGGAATGAACCATATAAGTGTCAGGTGCATAAAAAACAGTGCTGATCTAGTGAATAGATTTGCAGTGGATGTTTAAGAGTCTTTGTCCATAAAACTGAGTACTGTGAAAGTGACAGCAGCGGAAGAGCAGCCACCTTTGAATTCATATGATTTCCTTCCCACTTTGTGAAGCAAAGTGTCAATATACTTTATGCCTTGGAGAAAAATTGTGAAAGTTAATATTCATCTTCATTTGCCTGCTTCCATGTGAATTCCAAATTAATTCTTTGCTCGTAGAATATTAAAGCTGGAGGCAATAAAACCATAAATATTATTTTTTATTGTGGTCATCATGTATATATGGTTTAGTTTTATGATTGAAAGATGTGCTTTGCATAAAATAAATTCTTAGGTTACCCTCTATGTCAGGCTGCTGAGAACATTTGCTGTAATTTTAGGTTTACAGACAGATGCGCAGTACATAAATGTTGTTGACCCTATCTGGATTAATATAGACATTGGTAATTGTTTACCAGTTGTCAACTGTATTATAGGAGATGTAATTTGTAAATATGTCTTTATAAATGTATTACATTTTATGCTGACTGGTTAGCCTGTTTGATCACTGACCTTTTCTAAATGTCATGGATGGACCAAAGCTCAGCCTCGACATATTGACTCTTACAATAGGCTTAATGAAAATAATATATTAAAGGCTTATCAGCATTTTAAACTGATTGCTTCGAAGAAATGAGAAAGCTATGAGAATGTATTATTGATAGATTTATTAACTGCATTCAATAATGGGATTTTTTGTTTGCTCCTCTTAATGCTTTTGCATGTTGTTGCTGACAGTAATTATTAAAGATCTCAGCCTGGTTTATTTGTTTTTCTTCCATCTCCGTGTTCAGGTGGTATTTTTGAGACCCGGGAAAGGGAGTTAGTAAGTATGGACGAACTGGCATTCAAGTTTGCTGTAAATAATATAAACCGCAACAAGACGCTCATGCCCAACATAACTCTTACCTACGACATTCAGAGGATCAACCTGTTTGATGGCTTCGAGGCTTCCAGGAGAGGTATGAAATTCTTTTAAGACATAATGTTAGCAGTAACACTGTAAGTTAACTTTCCCCCTTATTCAGCATTTATAAGCAGTACACAAATATGTAATAAATGGTTTATATCACATCATAATGCGGTTTCCCAGTGGCCACCCTTAATGTAGGTGGAGGTGGTGTATACCAAATAGTCTCTTTTAAAAACAAAAACAACTTGTATAAATAGCTAACTTAACTTGCCTGCCTGGTTTGCAATGAAATATGGTGGTGAGACCGATCTCAGACCTCCCTGTTTAATCACCAGACCTGTGATTAATAACCATCTCTTTTTTCCTCCACCAGTGTGTGACCAGCTAGCTCTCGGGGTGGTTGCTGTGTTCGGCCCTTCTCACAGCTCCTCGGTCAGTGCTGTTCAGTCCATCTGCAACGCTCTTGAGGTCCCACATATCCAGACCCGTTGGAAACACCCATCAGTGGACAACAAAGACACCTTCTTCATCAACTTGTATCCTGAGTACACCGCCATCGCCAGGGCCATCCTGGATGTAGTCACTTTCTTCAAATGGAGGAAGCTGACAGTGGTCTACGAGGACAGCACGGGTGGGGCCCGTTGCTTTTTGTGTGTCAGTCACCAAAGTAGCTTTCAAAACGACATCAGTGGATGTCTTCCATATCATCTAATGACATTTAAAGTAACAAACTGAGATGGAGAAGAGGTCAGAAGTGTTAGCTTGTTTTTTGGACCTTACGATATATTCATATGTCATTGTTATAATTACAAAATGCAGTTCCACCATCTACTACAGTCACCTTCCTCATGCTGGCCAGTGAACCCAATCTGTGACGGGGTACCAGTGTCTCATATCAATCAGCTGCCAGTATTCCTGCCCTCAGACTTCAAACTGGGGAGAGCCAAACCACAACACTGATGACCTCATATAGTGGCCCTGCCCGTGACCTAGAGAAACATGAAATGCCACTGCTGAAATGTCATAGTTTATGGATTTCTTTCTTCCTTTGATTTTACGCTCAAGTATTTGTTTTTCTGAAATGTCACGCAAACTCCCACCTGTACAATTGCATGCTTTTGTGCACACACGGGTGTACACTATGTACAACGCAGGTGTGTGTTTGTTTACCTTTGATGTGTTTAAAAGCAAAGTAGTAGAATCTGAAAACATGTAGTTGTGCAGCAGGGTGATGCAGAGGATGGGGACACATGTAATGCAGAAGTGTCCTTGAACAAGACACTGAACTTCAGGAGAGATGTTCTGTATCTGATGCTCCACTGTGACCTTCCCCCTGCAGAGAAGGAGGGGAAAAAAACCAAATGTCCAAGAGGGGATAAATGAGAGGTCTAAACCATTGTCTTTTTTTATTTATTTATTATTATTTAGGTCTGATGCGAATGCAGGAGCTGATCAAGGCTCCGGCAAAGTTTAACTTGAAAGTCAAGATCCGGCAGCTCACACCGGGTAACCAAGATGCTCGACCTCTGCTTAAGGAACTGAAGAAAGACAAAGAGTTTTTTGTTATCTTTGACTGCTCCTATCTTATGGCTGCGGAGCTCCTTAAGCAGGTTTGCACAGAGATTTATCAAAGTGTATTTTTATTGCAGTTTCTTTCTGCGGATTTTGCAACACATTTGAATGTCCTTTGGGGAAGACACATTAATGATTCTTTTCAGCTCACGGTCTTTTTATTTATGTTTAAAAATGTTGCTGAGTTGCCTCATCAGGATGAACCAGCAATTCCCTTTTCATTGTCAACGCTTTAAATGGTTCACAACTGATTCAACATCACATGAATTTATTACTATCCTAACTAACCTAGGTTGTAATGCTTTGTAGCGGATTTATGGAATTAACAGACATACTGACAAAGCCTTGTGGTGCACTGAATCCAAAATATCTGATAGACTGAACAGGTGGAAAAGACCTATGATTTAAAAGCATGTGCTGCTTTTCTTTTTACACTGTAGTTGGAAAAAGTGATGATTAGAAATGATGAAATGTTTAAAAAAACATTTTTAATAATTCAGCCACATTCATTTGTGCAGTAATGTGAAATGCATCAGTAATTATTCTTATTTGAGTAAAGTGGCACCCTCAAGCCAAACATTTAAATGCTTATATTCATTTATGCCAGTCAGAAATGAGAAATTTCTTTGAGGATATGACACCAACACTAGGAAGCTATACATATTTAAAATAAGAAAAATGACCTGACATTTTCTTTTATTTATTTCTTTATTTTTTCAATTTGCAGCTGTCGTCAATGGGAATGATGACTGAATACTACCATTTCTTCTTCACAACTTTGGTGAGTTGGAAAAATGTACAACTAAGGTTGTTTTATGGGATATACAAGACAAAGTAGATACAAGCTTGTCTGTCATCAGGTCTTGAACTGGCTTTGTGAATTCACTGGAAATAAGAACATGTTGCTGTGAGTCATGAACAAAATAAGAGGCTGGGAACATGATTAGCTGAGCTCAGATCTCCACCCCAGTATAAGCACAAAGTCATTCATCTTTTGCTTCTGCCCCTCATCTCCTTTGTCTCCTCCCAGGATTTGTTTGCCTTGGACTTGGAGCCTTACCGTTACAGTGGGGTCAACATGACAGGCTTCAGACTGCTGAACATAGATGACCCATGGGTAGCTTCTACAATGGACAAGTGACAAGAGAGTGGCCTGATGGATGGAGTCATGACTGTAAGCCACATACTGTTATTTTACATTGCAGAGCACTAACACCTGCTCTCTTGAATGGCAATGATGTGCACATTTGTTTTTGTAGGAGCTATATTTCAACATGATAAAAAATGTCAAAGCTGTAATCCCTGGTTATATTTGTTCCACTAATACACAATACTGTATTCTGTTTATTTGTCTTATGGCACAATTTTCCTGGAGTAGACATCCCATTTTTATCTTCGAGACACGCTCTCTGTGTCCTACTGTAATCCAACTGTCTCCAAGTGATCTTCATTTGTATGCTGCACATGGATTTTGAGTGTAATGTAAGAAAGAGAAACCTTTCCCATCTTCCTTTCGCTGCCTCCTGCACAGACAGACGCAGCCTTGATGTATGACGCAGTGTTCATGGTTGCTGTTGCGTCCCAGCGGGCCACTCAGATGACCGTCAGCTCCCTGCAGTGTCATCGCCACAAACCGTGGCGCTTTGGACCACGCTTCATGTACCTTTTCAAAGAGGTCAGTATGTGATGCAACAAGTGCTCAGATTACAGAGAAATACAAACCCTCTTACCCCACAAGCATAGCTTTGGAAGCCCTTGTTGATTTTAGCTTGAGTGCCATGATTGTGTTTCAGTGTCACGAGCCTGTGTTGCAAACATGAAGTCCGACAAAACTGGATGTCAGATCATTTATGTGATGTTGTTCGATTCTTCCCCTTTGACAGGGAATGTTTTGCAGTATTTATGTACTTAAGTTGAAAGTATGTGGCCCTGGCTGACTGTCACACTAGATACCTACAGACAGAAATAAGCCCTTTGATGCATGCGGGTTTTGATCTCTTAAGTCTTATATCCAGCAGAGGACCATTTCTTGCTATGGAGAGGGAACATTATCATTCAGTTCTCGCCCTCATATTTTCCTCTTCATATCCCCCTTCTCCCTCTCTTTCTTTTTCTTAGCATCCCAGTGTCTCTTTCTTTTCCAGCTTCTTGTTTTGTTTACTTCCCATCCTTTTGAAGAATCTGTCCTCCTGTGCTGTTCTTCACTTGATGAGCACCATTTTGGTGTTAAGAACAAGTAATATGTCTCATACAGAACTCAATTAAGAACCATTTCTGACAAGAGCATGCAGAATACGAGGATGGAGTTTTCATTTCAGAAACAGAAATTAAATCCTGGGCCAAATCCTATGTATTCAGTCTTTCCTTGCTATTGTGTTTAACAATATTCAGTGTGTTTCTATGGGCAAAATGAACTGAATCCTATATTAAATGTGTAGATACATTTTATTCACAGTGTATGATTTCATAAAGAGGGAATATGAAAAATCTAAATGTTTATTTCTGCACATTTCTCAGGTTCACTTTGTTTCTCCAGATTTAAAAAAATATATTTCATTTTTTTTTTCAAATAGTTTTTACTACTAAGGTTGTGAAAATGATAATGATGAGTTTTCTTAAGAGTTTCTGCTTGCAGCTGTCTAGATCAGAGAGAAACAGTGAAAACTTTTTTTTTTTTTTACTTTCACATGAGGAGTAAAACATGATGTTCTTTGTTCATTGTCTGTGACTGTAACCTCAACGGTGGCAATTTAACAGGCTCCACCTGTTCAGGTGCAAGGGTTTTTTTTTTACCCACTGTGGAAATCTCAAGCCATGTGTTGTTAAAAAAAAGTTTATAAAATATACTTTATGTACAAGGTGCATGTATCATGGGAGTGTGCTCCAGAGCTTCAGTAAAGCTCTGCACACAGAATCCGCTTACATGGCACTGAAGAATATCTCCCACTTCTTTCTCCCTCTGCATCTCTTCTCCTCAGGCACAGTGGGACGGACTGACAGGCCACATTGTTCTTAACAAGACAGATGGCCTGAGGAGAAACTTTGATTTGGACATCATCAGCCTCAAAGAGGACGGCACTGCCAGGGTGAGGACAGAGGCCTGAAGCAGTCTAATTACTTCACTCTCATGCTGCTTCCATGCTGGCTGATTCATTCCATTAGGGGATATGTGTGTACATATGAAAAACAGAGAGGTACCATGTAGACTGTTTTCAGTAATTCAGCCACACATTTATTTGATTTAAAATTGTCCACTCATGAATAATCATAATGCTCCATCAACTGATTGCGTCTTTCCACACTGTCTGTGCTTCATGCTGCACCCATCATATTTTCAAAAGGGTATTGTGGAGGGTGGAAGTCGCCTTACGAAAAGATGGATCAAGGTTTGTACCAGTACCTTGTTTACCCCCCACCTCGGTCTTTTCTCACTCTGTATGCCACATACCTCCATGCTCCTCATCTTGACAGCCTTGTTCCTCTTCACTGATTTTGTGTACAGCAGTGTCAAGTACTATATTTGACATTTCGGTTTTCCCCTTGTTTGGGTCTAGGCTCTTTGACTCTTGTCAAAACTTTATCAGCAGTTGTAGAAAAAATATCAAAATGCTTTGTTTAATAATCCCATCATTAGAAGTAAAATGTAAGTCCTGCAGTTATTGTGATGTCATTCAGTTTCCACAGCTTGTGGCTGCGAGTAGTTATAAAGAAATAAGTGAATTGGTCCAGAAGAGATTTGTCAGTCCACTACTAATGTGCTTCACTGTCACTGTTTGACTGCCTTCATACCTTCATGAAACTCATGCATGAAAATTACAGCGGAGAGGCATTCTTTTAGCAGAGGAAACAAGAGCTTAAGTCTGGCATCAAGATGTGCTACAAGAGGAGCACATGTCTTTGACTGACACATAGACCAGTGCAGATGTTAAATGCTCACTTCGGTGCAATTCATAGTGTCCAGAGTGGTATTATTTATTATTTGTGAGTTTTCATCTCTTAGTTTAGTCTCAAAATAAATTGTAAATGCTAAAGTGTCTTTACTTTATACCTTTGCTTATCACATAGTTTGCTCTCAGAGGTTCTTCCTCTCCATCTGTTCCAGCTGTCACATGGACAGGTACGTAGGCAGGTGCCAGCAGACAAGGTTAAAAGCAATCCTGTGCGTTACAGTCAGTACCTTTTAGCCTTCAAAAACCTTCCTTCAGAGGAAATACCATGGTATGGTAATCACATCACATATAACGCTTGACTTTATGGTCATGATAAATGAATTATCAGCCTTCTGCAGTTTTGTTGGTTCTTGGGGACTGGAGTGTTAAATGTACTCTGAGGGGGATGATGAGACTGAAAGTGAAAGTCTCCTGGGAAATAAAGTATTTTTTTTTAGTTGTTGACTGTCTGGAAATAACAATTTTCCCCTCTCAGCTTTCTTGGCCTGGATTACACAGTACGCCTCCCGCTCTGTGGTAACGGCTTTCCAGTCTGATTTGGTTCTGGATGGAGAGGAGCTTTAGGATTCATAGATAACATTTTACTCCCAGTTTAACAGAGAGAATTTCAGTCAGTTTTTATAGCACACTTTGTTGTTGGGAGCTGCTCTGTTACGCTCGATAAATTTGCAAGGATCTACACAGTAAATTTGAGAGGCTTAAAAGATGACTGTATGCTGTGTGGTCACCTCAGACTGCATTTTAGCATAGTTTTCAATGATTTAATCAAATTAATTTATTATTTAAGCTTCAAACTGTACAGTTGGTATTTCATAGACAATGGTGTTACCAAAAATAACGTGGTTCTACGACATGCAACGCATTTGAAATTGCACAGTCTGAGACCAAAATCCCCTCCACACTTCCACAAATATTGTCCTTCCTCTTTCAATTTATCTTTGAGATTGAGAACAGTGCAATTAATTAAATCCAACTCCATTCCTCTGTTCCTCATCTGCAGTGTGCAGAGATAAGACTGATTTATGGAGCCCTGCGACAGCGCCACAGTGGAGAATACGGACTGCTTTTAGCCAGGTTATAAGTGAACACATTTTCCACATCAGACTGGGTGAACAGAATAAGAGAGAACATAATGAGGAATGAAATATGTTATCTTTTCCAAAAGGTAATCCACAAAATACATTGTGAATAATAGAACTATACGTCATCTGAGTTTAATAAGAGGTACCGATGTGTTCAGTACTACTTGTCCTCGTACTGTATGAAGTGAGTAAATGGATGACCAGGCTATTGGTTCTGACTAAAGAGACCCAAATTCATCCTTTTTGGTCACAGACTGGGAAACAAAAGGAGGGAAGCTTTTCTCTATCACTTGCTTTGGTTCTATTAACACTGAATCCTGATCATTTAATGCGCTTAACTTTATTGCACCACTGTCTCGACCCCTTTTGACCTTAGCTCAGCTCTTAACCAGTGAGGGGATTTGAAAGGGTCAAAGTGCTTTTGCCAGATGCCTGTTCTAATCTGATAACTGTCCAGATTATAGCGCCTGGTCTGATGAACCAGACACTCCCAGTCACACTTGATGTGACGGTATAGAGGGCTGTGCTGTCCTCTGTCACCCCAGACCCTGTCCGATCCTGCCCCTCTTCCTTCATACTGTCCCTCTTGTGTTGTTTCTAACAGATCACCACCATATTCAAGTAACTAATAAATATTTTCATAAATTATTTGAACTGTTTAGTAATCATTTAGTTTATAAAAATAACAGTAAGCAAATACAAATGCTAAATTTTCAGTTAATCACAAAAATTAAATCTAATTCTAATGTAAAATCTGGATATTTCTGGCATTTTTGGTTTAAAATGAGTTAAAAGTTTAATTATTAAAATCTTTTTTTGACTAATCTGCTTATAGTTTCAGTTTTATGTTTAAGTTAAAATACTAAAGAGTTAGTTACCTAGCAACTTAACAGTTGGTAGGATGTGTTTCGGTTCAAACAGAATGAAATATAAATGCTAGCAGGTATCCATACCAATCCAAAGCAATACTTTATAATAAAGGAAGTGTCTTCTTCATATTGGCTATTTAAAACAACTTTGTTGTTCAGGCTGCACAACATGTTATCTGAGAGTCAGATTAATTGCTGCACACAACAGGCATGATATTGGTTTGCTTCAGAAAAGCTGCCAAGTTTTACCTGATGGCCCTGTTTGGAACAAACAGTTTTTTATATTCCTCATAAATAAAATGAAATTGTTGGCACTTTGCCCAGAATCTTGAGAGCAAAGCTGAACAAAGGGAAAGGTTGTAGAATAGTGACTGGAGCAGGAGGTTGAAAAGGAGCCAGCAGATCCGGGTCTTTTATCCTTTTGTTTATTTTCCATTTTTCTGTTCAACGAATCAGAAAATGTGATTAATATGAAGTGCACTGGACTTTTTTTTTGTTTTGTTTTTTTTTACACAGTGTCTCAGTTGAAATAACTGCAGCCTTATGCAGAACTTAAAACATCTACTAGAGTATATACTTCCATAGTGACTTCAGTAGCAGGTGTCAAATGCAACTTCCTGTGATTCTGACAAAGTGGATGTTAAAGAAATCTGCAGCCCTGTTTGTCATTCCAGATTGCCGTGTGGAACTCGTACAGCGGGATGAACCTGACGGAGAAGTCTACCCGAGACAAGAATAGCAATGTGACAGACTCTCTGGCTAACAGGACTCTTATTGTCACTACAATACTGGTGAGAGGGGAGGTTAAATAGAGGGACAGCATAGGGGAACGGAGGGGAGTATGCAGGGGATGTGTAGAGTGCAGATAGGGGTGCAACACGAAGTACACAGGAGAGGGAAGCAGTGAAAATGAGTGATGTTCAGGAGAGGAAAGTAGTTTCTGTGCTGAACAGTTTGGATAATTTGAATTTGTATTTTCAAAGATTTGTCTAATTATGTACACAGATAAAATCCAGTATAGAAAAACAGTGTGTTTTTGGTCAAGTTAATAGACTACACTGTATCTGCATAATAAAACAAGACATCTCACCACTCATGAGAACTGCTGAACATGAAACATCTTAACAATTAAAACTTCAGATTCATCTGCTTTTAATATAGTGCTTAGATAACACTGAAAAAACACAATCAGAATAAGAAATGTGCCTTAAAAACATGGAAATACAGCGTTTTCTTTTGCTATACAGGAAAATCCATATGTGATGTATAAAAAGTCAGAGAAGGAGCTGGTTGGGAATGATCGATTTGAGGGCTACTGTCTGGACCTGTTGAAGGAGCTCTCCAACATCTTGGGTTTTACTTATGAAGTCAGACTTGTGGCTGATGGGAAATATGGAGCCCAGAACGACAAGGGAGAGTGGAACGGGATGGTCCGAGAGCTGATCGACCACGTGAGTTAATAGTACAACAATTTATAGACCAGCATAATCAGTTTTGTTTGCTAACATCTAGAGGGGGACATTATAATCACTGGTCTTAACATGCTCGGATCACTTGCAGCCTCTGCCTTTATAAATGGAGCCTCTAGTTACTGTATGATTCATTATGACGTTTACTGTTAATTCTTTAGCAATGTTTTTGACAGTGATCGATTTAATGTAGCTGGTTGCTTTCATTTTTTTTTATCACTAGTCCTGAAGTCAATCTTTCACTCAAATTTTTTTTTAAGCTTTTCACTGTTACTGTTCTGTATCTTGTATTTTTGCTTCTCCAGCAGAGAAGCACATGTGGTCTGTAGCATTTAACTCTGTTTTCTGAATGTTCCAGGTTGCAGACCTCGCTGTGGCTCCCTTGACCATCACTTATGTTAGAGAGAAAGTCATTGACTTCTCCAAGCCCTTCATGACCTTAGGTATCAGCATCCTTTACCGTAAGCCTAACGGCACCAACCCGGGCGTGTTCTCCTTCCTCAATCCCCTGTCTGCGGATATCTGGATGTACGTGCTGCTCGCTTGCACAGGGGTTAGCTGTGTGCTTTTCGTGATTGCCAGGTACAGTAAGAGGATGGATTTATGCTTGTGATAATGAGAGGATGTGTGATGGGGTGAAAGATATAAGGGTTATTGAGGATATATTGTAGCATACGTAGATGGTGACTGCCTACTGAGCTCATTCTGAGCTGAGTTCACAGCCAGGGTCGACTTTGCCACAAGCTCTTTTGTTGGTAATTTGAAAGTGTAAGGGAAAACTGTGGGACGGCGCCAGAACAACACAGACTTGTACTTGATGCATCAGTTTCACACAATACGAATCATAAATAACCTGGAATAATTGGAATCATTTAAATTTCATTTAATCTCTTTCTCTATGTTCTTTCATTGTCTTGCAGGTTTACCCCGTATGAGTGGTACAACCCACATCCATGCAACCTGTCCTCAACTCTAATACAGAACAACTTTACTTTACTCAACAGTTTCTGGTTTGGTGTAGGAGCTCTTATGCGGCAAGGTACAGAATAATTCTCATCTCTCTAGATTGACACTAAAATATTTTCTCATCAGTAGCAGTAACATTTGACGGTGCCAAAACAATCTGTTTTATGATTAAGGGGTTATGGGGCCATGTGGAGTTTTACTCTAAAGAACAGCAAAACAATATCTAAAGTTATATTTACTTTCAGTGATATGCACCAAAAACATGGTCTAATAAACATACTGAGTGCATTTCATTCCCCATTACATGTTCAAAAGCAGATTTTAAACCCTGCATTTTTAATCTGTGTTTACACTCATCAGATTCAGTTTTTTTTGGTGCATTGCTGCATATTTTAGCATGTTACCATTACCTGCTGATCAGTGGAATAGCATGACACCATTGGTATAACTGTATATCACATCAGCTGCATGTGAGTCCATGTGCACAAGATAAAGAAAACTGAGACTACTGTAGATCTCACAGGTTTGAGTATTATTTTTACATTGGGTTATACAGTACCTGGGGTGGAACTCTAAATGTACTGGAGTATTTTGTCAGTTGTTGTGCACCTTTCAGATCACCCTCATCATTCTCTCCAGTGCTGATTTTGGCTGCTGCAGGAAGCTGTTTTTAGCTAAAAGGCTATGATAAAATCCACTGTATACTGAAGAAGCATCTAGCAGCTAAAATAACAGATATTTCCCTCTGGAGCTGTACTGAAGGTCAGATCAGAATCTAACGGAAGATACTGGCGACAAAGCAGTTATTGCAGGCTAAAAGTGTCACCAAGCCCTTATGCTAGAGCTGTCTAGTGAATTCTCTTACAATAACATTGTGTTTCACTTTAAACTCTGCTCTAAGCTTATTATTTCAAAAATATTCCCCTCCTGTTTTCTGAGTGTTCTTTCTGCACAGCCTGAATACACTGCTATAAGACTTATGTTGTACTTTACGTGGATTCAACCTCTCTCCTGGCAGGAGATTTGGGCAGGATAAGTCTGACATGCCTGATTGGACAGCCACCAAACCTACTGACAACATCAGTACCCAGTATTTGTCAGCTCATCAGAAATGCAACAGCTCTGATAAAAGGAGAGATAATGAAGCCTTCATTAATAATTTGGGACCCTTTACATTTGATTTATTTTGATTTCCAATCTGTAAAACAGGTTAGAGATAAACCTTCAGCGCTGTGCCCTGTTGAACTTTATCAGGATTCTCATGTTACTTTCCATCATCTCTCAAACTAGTTTAATATTGTCTGAACAGTAAAGTGAGTTGTCCTGTTTTATGTATGTGTGGCATGTACGTGTGTGGTGTGTGTGTGTGTGTGTAACTTAGTGGGTTAGTAGCCTCAAGCTGTCTGCGGGATGTGATGCCTGAGAGTAACTGTTATCTAAGATGCAGTACATGGCTAAACCAACCATCCAGACTCTTTTACCCTAAAAGTATAATTAAGCATTTGTTCACTCCCAGTGAACAAAGATTTGAAAGTAGGCACAAATATTCTCACACCTGGCCTATTCTTCAATTACATTCATCTTTTTTTTTTTCATTTCCTCTTTTCTCTGCACAGAGAAGAAACGATAAATCATGATGCTCATTCTGCTGTTTCAGTTTGGTGTTTTATTACATTTTTGTCATGATGTGGTCCCTCGTTTTCTTTATACTCAGCTTTTGTCTGTCACAGTTGGTTTTTCTAATTTGTACTTTTTTTTCCTACTATGCTTGCTTTGTGACAGTAATCTCATCTCACTTTTCTAAAAATGTATGCTGTTTTAGACTAAACACTTTATGCAGACAAAGAAAAAAACTACAAGAAGAGTTGTACAATTTATCATGCAAGGCTGAGGTGAATATCAATTGGACCTTTTGTCCCCTATCACTATGCTTCCAGGCTCAGAGCTGATGCCTAAGGCTCTGTCCACTCGTATAGTTGGGGGTATCTGGTGGTTCTTTACCTTAATCATCATCTCCTCCTACACGGCCAATTTGGCTGCCTTCCTCACGGTTGAGCGAATGGACGCGCCAATCGACTCGGCAGACGACTTGGCAAAGCAGACCAGGATTGAATATGGGGCAGTGAGGGATGGATCCACCATGACCTTCTTTAAGGTAAAAATGGTGTGGGCTTCTACATGTTCCTTCCAATATAGGAGTATCTGCATCACAATATAAAAAGAGGTAGTTAGATTTACTATTTTATTTTATTTTTTTTTTTAGTTTAAGTCAAGGTTAAGAGCCTGTCAATTTGTAGTGTGTATTGTCACAAAGCTAAGGTAGCTCCAAATCAATCCACTCTGCTCCGCCCAGCCCTCTCTCTTGCTGCTCCGCTATGTGCTACGCTCCACCACGCTCTGCCCAGCTCTTCAGATATTTGTTGTTATGAAATTTCAAAAAATGAGAATGCAACAAAACTTACTGATCAAACAGAAATAACTGAAAATCTCTGATTGGTTATAAAGGTCAAAACCTCTGCACTGCTGCCAGTACGGTTCAGTGACTCTGGGTCACAGGAGGCTTCAACAACACCTCTCCACATTAAGTTTTGGAGCAGATTTCTACTACAAAAATATTTGGTAAAAAGTTGCATACTGTAGATTTAAAGAGATGTTTGTCTTTTAGAAAAACCAACCACATGCAAAAGGAAGTTAGCCTCATAGTTCTTTATTTTGACTCATTTTTAACTAAATAATAAAGTTTGCTTGGTTTTTAGCTCTGCTTACACTTTAGATGTACATCTTGAACACCTGATTATTTTTACCTGAAGTGCAACATGTTTTTTTTTAACACAACTTATGATTACAAGGGTAATCAAGCTATGTTGCGTTTTTATATTTAAATATTTGCAGATTTTTTTTTTAACAAAATGAACCCATATTAATAGAAACCACTGCACACAATGGTCTCAAAAGTGTATGTTCATCTTTTGTAGTTTACTCTCATCTGGTCTGATGAGTGAATTCCCAGAACAGTTTGTGTGTACTCTTTGTGAGTATGGTCACTGGTACAGTGCCTTTACTTCACTTCCATAAAGTCATGATGGTTCCCTCAGCTGCCCCTGCATCTTGTATTTTCTCCAAACCTCCCATAAAAAGAAAACTTGTAAATACGGAGAAAAAGATTTGGCATTTACTTTGAAGGACAGCACAGATTCATTACAAGATGTGATGGGAAGTGAAAGAGATGCATATTAAGATTGTGTTTTGGGGTGTCTGTGTTAGAGTATATGTTAACTTGTTTATTTTAAATAGTGCGTCAGTGTACTACTGTCCTCAGGCAGGGCTGTCACGTCCTCCCCCACCGCCACCCACTCTCCCTGCATCCTGGTGGCTCAGCAGGGGTGATGCATTCAGGGTTTTATCCTCCCAGATTGCAGCCAGTGATTACGGGTGCCTGGATCAAAAAAAGCGGGCTGTGTTGATGGCTTGAACTAATTGAATCAGCTGGAAGAGATTTAGAACACAGCTGTCCCATTTTCTCTGAGCAAGAACAAACACACATATACAGTACATCCTGCTATTAAATGTATATGTATTTTTGATAGTATTTGAAATAAATCATCCAATGATAGTGATGGTATCAGTATGACAATGGTTAAATGGGCAATTGAGGGGATATGCAAACCACTAACCCATGTTTTTAACATGTTGTTTCAACTTGGTCAGTTACCAATTAATATTAAAATAGCAAAGGTTATTCCTCTGTATAAATCTGGTGATAAGCACAACTTCACAAATTATAGACCGGTTTCGCTGTTGTCATAATTTTTAAAAATTCTGGAAAAACTCTTTAATAACAGATTAGACACATTTATTGATAAACATAAAATCCTCTCTGATTGCCAATATGGTTTTAGGTCGAACCGATCAACATCTTTGGCCATTACCAACCTGATGGAGGACATAACAAGTGCTATGGATGAGAGGAAATGCACGATGGGAATATTTAGTGACCTAAAAAAA